ATCCCAAGATTACCCCAAATTATATCCCCTGGTTCTGGTGCTTTTCTTACAAAAAGATTATTATTTCTAAATTATTAGAATTGATTTTGTTCGAATCCTAATTAATCTAATAATATTTAAAATCTTGTAGCTTTGAATGTTTTACAAACATTATCAGCTTATTTTTCATAATTATAACTGATTATACAAATTCCACTAAAATCAAATCTAGTGGCCCTATTTTCTTCCATGTTATCTAATTCCTTTGAGATTTCATCTATCTCTTATTTTAATTAAACTCTAGATGGAATTGATTTAGGTATTTATTTTCCTTCTGCTTCTAATTCAAGTACTTTTGTAAGCACAGATTCTTTCAATTATTTTTAAGTATTTAGTTTTAAATAAGGTTAAATTTCATAGGCTATACAAAGTTTTCTAAGTTCCACTGTTTCATTTTGAAATGATTAAGAAAAATACTCCTAAATTTCTGGCTCTTTGGCATCTTTTGGAATATTTTCAACTAAGATTGAAAAATCAGAAGCTAAGATAGCAGCATCATCTAATTCCATAGCAATTTTGTTTATGTGTCTTCTGTAAAATAAGGTCATAAACAATATTACTACTAAGGATATAAAATTTAGTATACTACGAGTTTCATCTAATTGTCTAGCATATATATTATAGATAAATACTCATGATCATTTGTCAATGAAAATTAGTTAAAAAAGTCTGTTTTACATTAATCAGCAAAACTACTATTTATATGACTGCATCGCTTTCCATGAGAATTTACATATATATTGTATCCACAACTGATAGCTCTATAAATTTCCATAAATTAAGATACATGTAAGTAAAGACAATAATACCAGAAAACACTAAGAAATCAAAATACAAAGCTATTCCTGAACCATTGAAACTGAATTCATGCCTTGATGAACATAAAGGGATTTCTTCAATTACAGCTGGTAGTCCACAACAGGGACAAACATTTGTTTTATCGAGATCGATATTTGAGTCAGTCTTAGCAAATTTGGTTGCAGCAGCATGCATCATTGCAATCTAAATCTTTGGAGGTCTTTAAAAATCATCATAAATAGCTTCCATTTGCTATTCCTCAGTTTGTTTAGCTCCAATTACTTGAAGAACTTAGTTTAGCATAACAAAAGATTTTAAATATCTGATTTATTTTTATTTATTAAGAGTTATAAATTTTCTTAAATAAATTAAATCCTAAATATTATTTGAATAAATCAAGGTATTCATTTTTTGATAAATTTTTTGAAATAATAACTAGTTAATAAGTATTAAAGATAAATAAATAAAATGAAATAATATACTAAATTAATTAAATTATTACGCACTATGAGGATTTAGTGAATAATTTTTTGTATATTTTATTGCGCAATTTCAAGATTTTATTTTTAAACATTAAATTATTAATGGAGTTTGTAACAGCACTCGTTTTCATTTTTATAGCTTGTGGTTGTGGAATTGCATGGGCCATATTCAATTGGATTGCAGTTCATAAAATAGAAATTCATCACAAACATGAAGGATTGACAGAAAAATTATAAGGAGCAGAATAAGAGAAAATCGAAACACTATTGGAAATTGGAGAACATATTTCTGATGTAAAAAAGTTAATTTAATTATTAGGGTGCCCAAGCCTTTTTGAAAGAAGAATACACAGATTGCAGTGTGTTTATAGCTATAATGGCTGTAGCCTTAATTGTATATTTATTTGTGTAATATATTTAGTTTGTTTCACCATGGTCAACATTAGCCTTCGTTTTGGGAGCAGCTACTTCTATGCTTTGTGGCTATTTGGGTATGGCAATTGCAACAGCAGCAAATTTCAGAACAGCATTTTGTGCCATAAGATCCTTATCAGATGCATTTTAGGTATATATTGACACAAAATCATTTAGATGGCCTACAGAGGTGGATGTGTTATGGGATTCCTCTTGGTGTCAATTTCATTGTCTATTCTATCATTAATCATCATCATCTATAATGCTGTATTAGTTGATAATGGAGATGTTGAAAATTTGATATCTATGTTTGATTATGTTGCTGCTTATGGATTAGGAGGATCAACATTTGCATTATTTGGTAGAGTTGGTGGAGGTATCTACACTAAAGCTGCTGATGTTGGAGCTGATTTGGTTGGAAAAGTAGAAAAAAATTTACCAGAAGACAGTCCAAAGGTATATTAATATAGTATCTGATAGAATCCAGCCACCATTGCAGATAATGTTGGAGATAATGTAGGAGATATTGCAGGTATGGGAGCAGACTTATTTGGTTCATTTGCAGAATCTACTTGTGCAGCATTGGTCGTCTCATCTACTTAATTAAGAGCTATTAATGAAGATGGATTTCTTAATATTTCTATTGGATAATTGATGTATCCATTAATGGTATCTGCTTTTGGAATTGGAATATGTATTTTGGTCTCTGGATATGCAGTATTCATTTAAAAAGTCACTGATATTCATAAGATAGAATCAACTCTCAAATAATAACTCTTATTATCTACTGTTGCCTTATCACCAATCATTATTGGTATTGCATATTGGGCTTTACCAGCAAATTATGTTATGATTTAAGCAGATGGTACAACTTAATTGGAAAATCTTAAACCATGGCACGCATTTGTTTGTTCTTTGATGGGATGTAATTAATTATAATATTTTTTAAGTATGGTCAGGATTGTTGATAGGTTATTTCACAGAGTATATGACATCACATTCTTATAGTCCAGTAAGAGAAGTTGCTAAAGCATGTGGAACAGGAGCAGCTACTAATATCATTTATGGATTAGCTTTGGGTTATTTATCTACCATTGTTCCAATCGTTTCAATAGCTGTCACAGCCTTTTTATCAATGAAATTATTATCTTTCTATGGAGTCGCCTTAGCTGCTCTAGGAATGTTATCAAATTTAACTATTGGATTAGCCATTGATGCTTATGGACCAATTTCTGATAATGCAGGAGGTATTGCAGAAATGAGTGAATTGGGAGAAGATGTTAGAACATCTACTGATGCTTTAGATGCAGCTGGTAATACAACTGCTGCAATTGGAAAAGGATTTGCTATTGGATCTGCAGCATTAGTTTCATTATCACTTTATGGAGGTTATTTGACTAGAATCTAAACATTTTAAAAGAGTGATGGTTCATTCCCTTACTCTGAAGGAGCAAAAATTGATGATCCAATAATCTTTGCTATGTTGATGATTGGTGCTATGTTACCATATGCTTTTTCTGCCTTTACAATGAAATCAGTAGGAAAGGCTGCTTTATAAATGGTTGAGGAAGTGAGAAGATAATTACATGAGCATCCAGGAATTTATGCTGGAACAGAAGAACCAGATTTTAGAGCATGTATTGCAATTTCAACAAAGGCTTCATTAAAAGAGATGATTCCACCAGGTCTATTGGTATTTTAAATTTTCTAAAATTAGGTTATTGTAACTCCTACAGCTGTTGGATTATTCTTTGGACCTCAAGCAGTTGCTGGTCTTTTACCTGGAGCTTTAGTAAGTGGAGTTTAGATGGCTATTTCAGCATCAAATACAGGAGGAGCATGGGATAATGCTAAGAAATATATTGAAGCTGGATTTTATAAAAATGATGCAGGTGAAGTGAGAAAGAAGGGATCAGATGAACATAAAGCTGCTGTTATTGGTAATTAATTAAATATAACATATAGGTGATACTGTTGGTGATCCCCTTAAAGATACATCAGGACCATCATTGAACATTCTTATTAAACTAATGGCTATTTTGTCATTAGTTCTTGCTGAAACATTTTGCAAAACAGGATGGTTATATTCTGAATGATGATTGTCTAATTTTGTATTGTACAAACATTTAATATATAAATAAATTCAAACTCATTTTTATAACTATTATTTTTCTTACTATTATTATTAAATAAGTGTCTCTACATCTATAGATTCTCTATATCCACTATAATCTTCTTAAACAATCATATCTTTATTTTTAACTAATCTCAATTGACATTCTTAAATAATTTCTAATTCTTCATAAGTAAATAATTTAGGTCTTGTGTGTTCTTACCAGGGATTTAAATCAACCAGAATAATATTTTCTTTTGGTGGAATATCAATATATACATCTAATACATATTTATCAATATCAATTAAATCAACAATCTTATTGAAATAATTTTAAATTTTTTCTTTGACACTTTCATCATCAGTAATTAAATATAGATTTTTTTAAGAAATGGCTATCAATTTTTTATTTTTAACAAAACATCTAAATTCTGTATTAGGTCTTAATTTATAGTATTTTCTTAACTCCAATAAATATCCTTGGGATGGTTAAGTAACTAATTAACATTTATCTGGATGATTTTGATTGATGACTAATTCATCATAATCTTCAATCATTTCCATAATGACTCCAGAATATTTAAGTGCCATCATAATATCATACAAATCATAAAAACACATATCTTAAAATGTGTTTTAACAATCAAGAGGAGCCCTCCAATTCAATTTAATGAATACACTTTCAAAGTCATCCAAGATTTCATTAATGATTTATTCTAATTCAGGAAAACGTTTTGTTCCATTATCCTTTAAAGGTGGCTTTTTCCATGCATCATTTAAGAAAATACCATCTTCTTTTAGAAAATTGACAACATCTTAACTTAAACGAATAGTCTTTGATTTGAATGATTTAAGTCCTTTAGGCCAATTGATTCTGCAAAATTGATTCATGTTATTATTCATTTAGATGGAAATAATTAATAATATAAAATGTCTAAGAAATCTACATATGTATCAATTGGAAGAGAAATAGAACAAGCAAGGATGACAAAGTCTTCTGGATTTAATGATGTATTAAATGAGAAGGAACTTCGAAATAGAGCAAATAGTCTGTTATAAAAACCTCAATTAAAGAAATTTTACAAGAATAAGAAAGATGGAGGAATAATAAAACCCAATAAGATGGCAGAACAATTAAGAAATACTTTCATAGATAAATTAAACTTAAACAATTTGGATAGTGCAGCTCCTCCAAAATCAATTGTATCTCATTAATCTTCAACGACTACTCAACCTCTTTGTTTTGAAATTGATTTTGATTGGCTAGATTATTGTGATGAATAAAAGTTCAAATAGATCTTTAAGGAAGACTTAAAAGACATTCCAGATATTGAATAATATGTAGAAGACAATTAATCATATCTTTGTCATATCTTTGCATAATGTGCTTGTGCAAAATGTACTTGCAACAAATGCATTTGTTAATATAAAAAGAAATTAGAATTAAATTATGCATATGGCATGCTTACTTCAAATAAATTTGATTACGTACCAAAATAAAATAAATGCTTTACTCCAATAATAACATAAAATCATTATGATAATATTGGATTACCAGTTGCATCCATGTAATTTAATTCTACTTAGAGAGATAATTATAAATGGATACCATAAGATAGACCAAGAACAGCTGCCAAATCTATGTATGAATCTCACAATTTGCCAACTGGATAAACTACTAATAATGTACGAATTTTCATTCAATAGTCTTGCTCACATTTATCAATTGGAAGGACTATACTCCAAATATATTTAAGGCTCCTCAATTTCGTTCTACTGTTAAAGCCAATTTAATGACAAGAACTAATTATAGGAATCAATTCATTTGGAAAGTTAAAGATGAAAACTAACCAACAGCTGATGATATTAAACAAAAATAATTTCAGTACAAAAATATAATATTTAATAGTTAAACTATTTAAAAAATATATCCAAATCAATTACGATCTATTTATTAAGAATCTTTTATTTAGAAGAATCAAAAACCTATTAGAGTATTTTTAAAACCAGAAGAGATTTTATAATGTAATGCTTATTAAGGTTAATATTTAACAACTAAATAAATGGATTATGAGGGTAAATAAATAACAGTCAAAGACATTTAATAGAAACCATGGAAAGGAAGATTGATAAAAAAATTATAAAATATATTATGATTTCTTATAAATGTTAAATTTTTATTGAATATAATTCTAAAAATACCAATAAATTTACTTAATATAATATATTTATAATTCATAAATCTTTCTTTTTAGCAAAACTTCCATTTTCTTCTATATATTCTTTAATTGCTTAAGCAGTTCTCTTACCACTATATTTAAGTTGTTTAACTCTAACATTTCCTTTTTTGAAATGAATTAAAGTTGGGAATCCTTTGATTTCAACAATTGGTATTTTATGAACTGTGGCATCCAATTCAGCAATCAAAACATTTTTACTATCTTTATATTCTTCTGCTAATTTTATATATTCTGCTGCCATAGCTTTACAATGTCCACACCAAGGAGCATAAAATTTCACAAAAACATCTTAATTACTTTTTAATACAATCTATTCAAAATTATCAGTTGTCAATTAAATCACTTGTCCATCATTTGGAATATCAACTCTATCAGATTCTTTTACATCTAAATTTTCTTCTGTTAATTAATTCTAGGGTTCACTCTTAGAATCATTATCTAATGATTTCAATAAGAAACTTTTCATTCCTTCAATTGTTCTCATTCCATCAAATTCTATTTTTATCTTTTAACCACCTTCAGATTTGAAAAAGATTAAAGTTGGATATCCTTCAATATTAATTCCTTCAATTTTATCAGTTGTAAAATCAACTTCAGCAATTACAATATCTTTTCTATCCAATGATTAAGCTAATTCCTCATAGATAGGTGCTAATTTTTTGCAATGACCACACCATGGAGCATAAAATTTAACAAATACATGATTTGGATTATTGTATACTTATTCTTTAAAATTAGATGTTGTTAAAACATGAACTTCTCCATCTCCTTAGAAATAATTATTAGAACCAGATTTATTAGCTTCTTTTTTTATATTTGATTCTTCAATCAAAGTCTAAACTAATTATTTATATGTTTCCAATGATTCATCTGCAAATTCAACTGTATTTGTTTTATTAGTCCTATTTTAGAATAATGGAATTACTCATAATTATAATAATAAACAACATTTTTTGCAACTACTTTCTTTTTGATTAAATAATGGAATCTTTTGTTAGATAATTTTGAATTTGGATCAATTAAAATAAATCTAATTTTATTTTTATACAATTCTGCTAAAGTTTAAAGAGTTTCATATAATTGACTGTTTTTTACACCAGCTACTCCAACCAAAGAAATTTTATCTCTTTCTGCTTTAATAAATTCTTCCTCTGTAAATGTGAAAACTTCAGGATAACCATTTGTTAAAATCCATTCTAAAAATCCATCTATTTCACCATTGTAATTAAGTGGTTCTGGTAATACTTTATGATATAATGTATATTTTGATGAATGAGCTTATTAAAGTTCAGGATTCACAACAATACCAAATTTAATACCTAGATTTTCATCTACAAATTTTTATAAATCATCATCATTATTTACATATTTGAGAATTGCAAAATTAGATCTTTTCAAAAATAGATCAATCTATAAATAATGAATATTTATATACTTCTTCCTATGAATTTAATTAAGTAATTTAATCATAAGCATTTTAAAGAGCAAATTCAAATAATAATTCAACTGAATCTGATGAATTAGGAAAGTCTTTAGGAACACCATTTTTGTAAAGTTTGAGTGTTGGATAAGATTTAATATTATTTTTGGCACTAAAAGCTTTGTTTTCATGAACATTAAGTTCACCTAAAACAAATCCATATTCTTTTAACATTCCTGCTAATTAAATGAAAACAGGCTTCATTTTTTTACTATTTAAGATTAAATAAACCATAAATACCAATAGCCACATGTATCAATGTAGAATTTTACTAATAATCTTGGATTCTCATCAAGAGCTTATTAGAAATTTTTTCTAGTAAGTTGTAAGACACCATCAACTTCTTCAATTTATTCTCTTGACAATACAATCAAAAGAAGAGCAAATAATAAGAAATATTTCATATATAAATATATTTTAATTGTAATTCGTGTATAATATAAGTTATGAATAGAGAATATTCTAGATCTAAATTTTGTTTAAATAAAATGAAGTTATTTTAATCTTTATGACTAAATCATATATGCTGTTCATAAATAAGTATTCAATGACAATTAATACAATTTAAACACTATATATTTCATTTCTATAGTAATTTATTTTATATTTCTTTTGATATTTAATTTAAATATTATGTTCTATAAATTTAAGTAGTTTATAATTCAACCAATTTTTTGATTATTACTATCCTAAATAATCTTATTTAACTATATCCATAGTATTTCATTTAATTATTTTACTGGATTGATAATTCTATTGAATAGGTAAAGGAAAATATTTAAAATTTGTCTTCCATTATGTTAAAGACATTTATATTATTATTACTAATCTAAAAGTACTTAACTTCTGATGAGAAAACAATATTATAATAACAAAATTATGTAAATTTAATATATGATTCAAAAAGCTTATTTGAGTGACCCACGAATGCTATTTGCATTATCAACATTGTATTTCTATTGTTCTTCTTAATCTAATAATGTTATTTATGAAATGAATACTTTTTTTTAATTTTGGTTAGATTTAATACATTTTAATTTGATTACTACGAGGAATATCATCATCTTCATTAACATTGTAATCATTCTCTTCTAAAATACATTCTTATTTCTAAACTTTGACTGATTAACTTTGTTATCTGAATGTATTTCCATTTTACTCTTCTCGATTTATATCAGCTGTATTTGATTTACTCCTCATTTAAGGTGTCACACTCAAAGGAGTTGATGTCAAAGATTGATTAAGTTCTTAACCCATTAATGGTGTTCTAGCATACATATCTGAATTTCTTTTATGTCTAGGTAGGTTTTCTTCACTTTTAAATTACTATATAATAATTACAGATGCAATTAATAGTCTGCCTATTTCTAAAACCATTAATGTTAAAGTGCCAAGTCTGTACTAATTCTAAGATCAGGATTCTTTTCAAGTAATGATCTTAATAAATGAATTGCCTCTTCACTGAGTGGATGATTGTTAATTAAATTATACTCGATCTGACAATGGTAGTTCTTCATCACTATCTCATCATAAGATTTAGCTTTAAATGGTGATGCACCAGTTAACATAATAAACATTAGTACTCCTGCACTAAAGATGTCTACTTTGAAATCATAGATTTTATCTTGTAATAATTCAGGTGCAACATATCCTGGAGTACCACAACGTTTAAACATATAATCACCAGATGGATTATAATAATCTGCTAAACCAAAATCTGCTATCACTACATCTGTCATATCTCCTTTTGATCGAAGTATAAGGTTTTCAGGCTACACTTACACATATTGTATACTTTAATGTCTCTATGCAATACTCCTATTGAATGGATGTAATCAATCGATTATAATATTCTATACATGATGTTAGCCACTGTCTTTTCATCATAAGCCTTTCCTTTCATTTAATTGAATAGTTCTCCTCCTTCTAATAATTCACAAACCAAAAATATGTAATTGTCATTTTCATAAACCTCATACAATTTAATCACTCCTCGAAAATCCATCTTCCTCATTATGGATAACTCCTTTATTAATGCAGGCTTATAATATGTAAATCTTCATTTCTACCTTATCAATTCGAATGTCTTAAAATTTCAGTTTGTCAAATGCCTTAACAGCGTACAATGATTGATCACTCTTTTTTTATGCACTATATACCTTTTTAAATATCATATTATATATTACCTTTGCAAAATTACCCTTTCCTATCAATTTGTTTATTGTGTATACATTATTAAACCCTCTTTAAATGCAAAACGATTTAAGATAATCATACCATACTACTTGTGCTTGTTCGTTATGGGCAAATAACTCTATTGATTTTCTATTCCTAGTTAACTTAAAACCATAATTCTTAAGTTTATCCAAAGTCACATTCTAAAGATCTATATATTTCTTATTATTTGCCAATTTTCCATCTTATATAAAGTAGTTGATCTCTTTCTAAATACCTTTCTTTGAATTTCTTATCAATGTTCCACTTATTATTGGATCTGACATCTAAATTACCTCCTTTATCCATAATTAAGATTTAGGATCATCAAAAAATGAAATTTTTGGTAAATTCATCTTGAATGTGTTTTAATTTTTACAAGAAAAAAAGAGAATAAATATTATATATTGTAGTATAATAAATTATATCTATATATAGGGTTTCATTAAATATTATAATTCCCCTATACTTATCCTGCAACTTCATTAAATACATTCAACTAAAACGGTTTCAATAGCAATCTTAATTTTGACTTATGTTTATTACATACCTATCATGATTACATAATCAAAAATTATTCTTATCTAATTTTTCGTATATATTTTGTAAGTACTTTTTCTAATTCTTAAATAACCGTTTAAATTTATAAGTGATTTTCCTATAAATATTATTATTCTTATCCTTTCCTATTAAATTTTAATAATATTGATTAAATTTAAGAATTGATTATGCTTTAATGATTATCAATCTAATTAAATAACATATTATTAAAATATGAATTATTAATAATTAGTACATTTAAAATTAACATTATATCTTAATTAAAATTAAATCTATAGACAAATTCTAATATCTTCATAATCAATAATTTCAAATTATAAATTTGATAACTATATTATTATTTTTATTGTTTATTAATGGTTTAGATATATAAGTATTTAAATATTTTATTTGTTATTTTTTAATTATCTAATTATATCTAATATTCCTTAATTGATTTTTTTTAACTTCCATTTACTAATATTATTCCATAATTCTTCCTTCCTATCATTATTTTAATTTTTAATGTTTAATTATATTGAGAATTACTTAGAACTTAAATTTAAAAGATTTCAAAAATATTAATACAAATCATTAAATAAAGAATATTCAATAAAGATTATGATTATAATTAAGTATTTTGATCAAAATATAATTATTACTAAAATGTTCATTATCAATAATTTAGCCCAATTAATATCCAAAATAGTATCTGGTTATTAAGCTTTGGTTCTACATGAAACCAAATTTACAGCCTTCTCATCTGTTGATAGATCTGGATATCCTGGATGTGCTGAACCTGCAATCATATAACTATTTAATAAAATAAATAATATACATATTGTAATCAGTGTCTTCAGTTAGGTCTTATATTACAATTTGATAGATTTAATTTGGTATTGTTACTTATGTCCAATTGGCTGGCATAGCTAGATTTTAACTATTATATCCCCACCATACTTATTATGCTAAGGGTGATGCAGTATCCTATGCAGCTTAGACAGAAATGACAAATAATGCACCAACCATATCAAGAGTACCTTATACAGTGCAAGTAGTAAAATCAGAGCTAACTTAGGAAGGTTTAGTCATAAATGATGGATAAACTGGTGAAAAGTCTTATGCCTCTAATTTAGTTGTTGTGTCAAGATTGGATACTAATTTTGATAGTTGAATTAATCTTGAATTAAGAATTGTAACCATATTATATGGTGAAGGGAAGTTTTCAGTAGTAGGAATACTAATTAAATAAATGGATAATCCAATTGATACTGATTATAATATTCTTTAAGTTGTATAAGATGTTTTTTCAATTACTTTAGTAGTAGGGAGTGACAAAACAAAAGCTATTTTTTTCATAATGTTCTATCTTTCAGCTTAATTTAAATAACTTTATTTAAAAGTGAGTGTAACACTACTAGCATTATATCTATTAGTAGTATTGAATTTGAGAGATTTAATATCACTAAATAATGAACTTCTATCTTCAGCTATGGCATACACAACATAATTTGTTTAGGCTCTTAGATTTCTTATTCTAACAGTAGCTGTATTAGTTTTTCCAATTGAAACTTTACCAAATTGAGATTGAGTAGTATTATATAATGCAGGACCTAAATCAAGTAATTATTTATTAGATGGTTGTTATGTTCCTTAAAGTGCAATCATATAATATACAACAGCAATTTCACCAACACTGAATATTATATTAGTTTATGTTTAACTAGTTTAATCATTCAATAATCCTGTAATAAATGGAGGTTCTGAATCTTCTTAAATAATAGTAATATCAATTAATGTTTAAGTCAATAAATAGACATCTCTATTAATACCACTTAATGTTAATGAAATTTATAGATTATTACTTGATACCTTTTAATATTCTGTTTTATTACAACTCACTCTAAATGTGGCATTATTTTAACCAGCTACAAATTACATACTTCTTTTATCTAATGTTAATGCAGTACTTAAAGATGTTAATAATATTTCAAATCCTAAATCTGGAGCATAATCTACTGATACATATGTATCAAGTGAATTACCACCAATAGGTACTTCATTTAAAGTAGGTACATTAACTCTTATATTTTTATTATTTGTTACTTTTACTGTACTTTTTTTAACTGGAGTATAATATGGAATATCACTTAATTCTCCACTTACTTTCCAAGTAATATAATATGTTCCTGGTTATAAAGTTTATGATGCAGATACTCTAAATTTTTATTATAAATCAGTTAATGAAAGTTTGATCTTATTTGGAATAATTGTTAATTCACTTATAGGTGTGAATATTAAATCCAAAGCACAAGGATAAGCAACTTTAAACCATAAATCTTTTGTTTAAGTTCCTCTTTCAACAGTTATTACACTATCATCATTTATAGTAATTAATGGTCCAGGAAATTTATAAGTAAAAGTCCATGGATCTAAATTTTTATATGATTTTTCAATTATTTATTTTTTAAATCCATCATATGTTTTTACCAAAATTTAATCAATTGTTACTTCATCAGATGGATTTGCAATTTCAGTAACATTAAATGTAATAATACCATTCTTATCTTCTGTATTTCCTTATATTGTAATACTATTTGTTAATGAAGTACATGTTAATTTTTAAGCAAATGTTGATTTATAAACTGCACATCTTTTACTACCATCAGGTATATCAAATTACTTTGGAAAATCAATAATGATACTTCCTTAACTACTTTCTTTAGGAACATTTAACAAAGCTGTCATATTGAACATGTATGAAGTATTACTCCATCTTGAAAATAAATTCTAAGGAAGAACATTATATAAATAAGACCATCCTGGTGCTTATACAACTTAAAGTCTACCAGCCTTTGAATTATAATCTATATAATTAAAAGTGTTTTATTTAATAACACCTATCCCAAAATAACCTGTCCATTAATCATTAATATTTTAGTTTGGATTAATAATCCCTTAAACAATCACAATAATTGGATTAGTACCTAATGGTTAATAATTAGTGATTCCACTTACCCATATTTATCTATTTTAAGCTATACAATCATATGGTTTACAAATTATTACATTCCCCAATCGAGTATCATAATTCTATGGGAATTCTAATACTATGAAAGCACTATCTATATAAGTTGATGGAACAAATTAAAATGTATAAGTGGCTTCTTCTCCTTCATTTCTGGGAGCAAAATCTATACTTTACACTAAAACTGGTTCTGATTTAGGAGATATGAATAATTATCTAACAGACTATAAGGTATCATCAGATATATCTAAAAAAGTTCCATCATATTTGCTTGTTATTGTGAATAGTCCAGCATTACCAGACAATGGATTCAATACATTATTAATTTAGAATGTTATTTCACCACTTTGATATCTTTCATCAGTTATCATTATGTAAGTGTAATCCCACAACTTACAACTTTTAAATGATGTCAAGGCTCCTGTTACATTACATATACAATCTATTTAAGGAATTGGAAGTTTTGGATAAAATTCTTTTGGAAATGTTATTGAAATTTCTCCTCCTGCTAGTAATTCATTTGTTAATATGAAAGTAAATTCATATTTTGCATATTCCAATTAATTTGATGGGAATGCAGTTATAGAATTAAATATTACTTTACCTGGAACGAATTCTGTTCCATAATCAAAATAATCAAATCCATTAATTGCATCTTATGTCTTAACTATTGATTTACCCCCTACTTACAATTCTGCAAGAAAGGGTTTGGCTTATGGAATTGATGGCTATTTACTGGACTTGACACCTTATACTATGATTCTGAAAGGCCCACTTGCAGGATGTTCTCTGATATTTTTGACTCTAAGTACATTACCAGATACAACAAATAACAATGGTTTAGAATCACTCTATGAATAAAATTAAGGAGCCTAGAATTATGGTTAGGGATATGAGCCATCCAAACTAAAATCAGTAGGAAAAGTTAATATGAATTCACTTCCATCAGGAATCAAATATTTTGTTTTAAAGTAAAATTCATAATTTAGACCCACAAATCCTTTTCCTTTTTTGGGTGATAATATTTAGGCTTCATCGAAATCATTAATATCAGGAGCTAAAAATTTATCTGTACCTCCATTATAATAGAGAGTTCTGGCTTCTACCTCATAATTCATACCAGAACTAAATGGATCCTTTAACATTGTCCATGAAACCCATCCAACAGAATCAGAATAACGAGGCCATCTTAAATTGTAGATATGCAATCTTGGTTTAATAGGGGCTGTATAATAATGAACTTATGGTGCCTTAATTCTCATTAATATCCAATCAACACCAGGATATGTTATGCATGGAGTCAAATAAGTATCTATATAACAAACAACAATTTCTTAATCTGGTATAAACATAGTATCATAACCAGGTAATTTAACTATAAAATCTGTTCCATCATCAAAATCGTTACCTGGCACTATATCCATAGAGACATTGAATACTCCAGACAATTTTGTATTACTAATTTACATTTAACTTACTGATACTCCTGGATTTAAATTAAATTAGGTTCTGAATGTTTATGATTTTTTAAAGATATTTAATTCTGTATCAACTCCAAATTACTTTTATAGGATGGTAATTGTAAATTCAGCACTGGCAAATGCAGGATTTTAAATGTTTGGTATGTGGATTTCTATATTACTGCGATAAGGGATTTCCTTAAAATTACGCATAATAATATAAGCTCCCTTTACTGGATCAGATAATTCATATATATTGCATTAGATCTTTAAATTTTCCATTGGCAATAAACCCTTTACTGCTTTACAAGGTATTTGATCTCCATCCTTGTAGGCAGTACCTAAAAAATTATTGAGGTATAAAGAATTTGTTGGAAATTAAAATTTAATTCTTCCCTAAGCTTTTTATTTAGTTGGATCATATCCTCCTTCTGGTATAATAATTTGATTATAAAATGTCGTTATTAAAATACTATATCTAGGTTTATTTGGAGTTCCAATGATTGATTCTTCAGGGCCTACAAACTCCAATGTTGGAGATGCTAGCTCTAATGGTTTCACTTCAATATAATTAGTATATGATTAAAGTAAACTTCCTTAAGAGTTAAATATTTCTATATCTACTGTATAGATTCCTGCATAGGTAGGAGTTTATACTAAATTTACAATTGAAAAAGAACTTAGTAAGTTTACATTATATTAAACTGAGAATGGGTTTTACCATGTGATGAGATTATCAGATTTATTACACATTAATGATACTGTTATTGGTGAAGATATGGAGAGGCAATTTGCTGCTGAAACTGTACCTACATAAAATGCAGAATCTAAGAGCACTTTTATGTATGCTCCTCCAGGAATTACAAATGTTGGAGTTATTCTAAATTATAGATTAGTAGATGTTTATTAAGAAGTGGGTTGATTCAATGTTACATCAATGAAATCAAGGGAAGCTATAATTGATTATTATTAATACCTACAGCTTCCACTTAAATAAAGGCATCAACTTTATTTTAATCAATAATATTTGCACATGTACTATCAGTGCAAGTACGAATATCCAAAGCAGATGATGGACCAGCAGTAGATGGATTCTTAGCTCTGAATTAAATGATTATTTGATTAGGAAGAGTTTCCTTATAATTTGTTATTAAAATGTCATCACTTGCTTTCTGCATCTACAAAGGACTAGTCTCAGATATATCTTCTAAACCAGATTTAAAAAATAAATAGACTTAACTACCGTCTAATTTAAAGGTATTAGGGAATTTAATCATAATTGCTGATCCTTTCGATAAAGAATTTGTAGGTAGGAATTTCAATTAATAATCAACGATTTTTTGTGTAGCCAATCTTACTTTTTACATTGGTAATAAAGTTATATCTTTAATTAAACCAGGCAGTATCTGAATGCCATTTATACCTGTTTTCCAAGTGTATATAATTGATGTTCCTTATCTATAAGCAGCTATTGTAAATGTTGAAGTCACTTATGAATATGAAGGATTTGTCAATGAAATTTATATTCCTACTTCACTACCTGCTATTATATCATTTGAAAATCCACTCACTTATACTCTACTACCCTCCAATAATTTACATACAATGTTACCCTCAATTACAAGATCATTAATTGAATAGAGTGAACAGGATGGATTATCTGAGATAATAAATACGTTGGGGATGAATAATTAAATAGTAGTTCCTAAAGGTAAATTGATGTTGGTTTTGAAAGCAAAATTATATTTACCTAAACTACCTGAAATAGGAGGATCAACAAATGAAACAATGCATGAACTTAATTAAGCAATATCATCAGCAATACCAATAGTTTGAAATATAAGATTTTCATCATAAATGAATTCAAATCTTTTTGTTCTTATTATAAAATTACCAGTTCCTCCTCTTTCTGCAGGATTTAGAATATTGTATATATTGAGTGTGTTGGCTACACTCAAAATTGGAGTATCAGTAAAATAAAAGGAAATTGTGTGTCCATTTATAGTGCAATTAGTGCAATAAGCTTTATTTCCTAATCCTGATTAATATTGTATTGGGAATACAATTTCTATATAACCACCTGCAGGAACATTAGTTTCTGGAATAACTTAGATTGTGTAATCAGAATACTGATTTCTATTTGCTATTGTATTACTAATAAAGCCTGGCCATATTGTACCAGCATAACATAAGGTGAAGTAAAATAATATTAACATATATTGTAATTATTATTAAATGTTAATTATTTCTTTTTATAAACTAATTCATTTTGTCTATAAATTTTCTAATATTATTGCCATTTTTAATTGACATGTCTCATCATTCATTCGAAGGTGATTTTAAAGGTCCAATACCACCACTTCTTAGTAGTAGAGTAGGAATTTAAGATGGAGATTATTAAGCTCAAAGTTTAAGTAGTTTGAATGCATAATCACCTCGATTATTTCTTAATTCATAGACAAGTCTTCATAAAAATTTAGATATCCCATCAGCAATCTATGAAAATAAAATACCTTCCAATTAAAAATCAAAATTATTGAAACTCATCATAGCTAAAAGCTTATAAAATAATTTCATAAAAAACCTTATCAATCGTTCTTACATAAGATAATTAGAATAATTGACATAATATCAAATATCTTAATTAGATGATCTTCAATTTAAGATTGAAACAACAGATTTAAATAAGAATAATTAGATATTTGGATTTATTGATGTATTTACACCTTATAGCAAATTCCTTATTTTTTGGAATCTATTTTAAATAATAACATATTTGGTAATATTTTTTTGGTTGCCTTTTAAGATATCATTTGAAATTTACCATCTTAGTGAATTATATATGAATGGAGAAAATCTTACTGCTGAAATTATTTTAATGGCTATTTTAGCATTAGACATTTGTGTTGGTATGAATATTGCATTCATAGATAAAGGCCAATTAATTAAAGATCGTTAAAAAGTAATAATGAATTACTTTTAAAAGAATGCATTTGTTGATTTAGTATTAATTCATAAATTATTTTCGTGGTGTCTTTTATAACTGCAATGATTTAGTTTTTTGTACCAAATTTGAGTTCAAAAGAGTTTTAAATAATAATAATATAGGTAATATTGTGTCTAATCTTTTATGTGTTAAGAGTGAAAAAAATCAATAATATATTGGCATAATTATAAGAGTAAATATATATATATAATGAAGATTTTTTAATTTAAGTGAAATAATGAATGATTTAGTAAATTTAATGAAAGTACTTTTAGTAATTGTTAGTGTTGTTCATAATTTTGGTTGTCTTTGGCATGGTATAGCTCATTTTAATTCATAATTTTCTTGGCTTGATGCATATAATTTAAGGGATTAATAAAATGGATCAAAATATAATGTAGCTATCTATTGGGCAACAATGACTATGACTACAGTTGGATATGGAGATATTACTGCAAAAAATGATTTAGAACTTTTGATTAATAATCTTACTATGTTCATAGGTTCAATTGTCTTTGCTTATTCTGTTAATAGTATAGGTATATTAGTTACTAATATTTATAAAAATTCAATAGAATATAGTAAGACAGTTAGACTTATAAATAAATTTATGATTAAGAATAAGATTGAGTTTGATTTATAAACAAAAATAAGAAGTTATTTAGAATATATTTGGAAAGAAGAATAAGAATAGAATGATGATTAAGTTGGTGATGTAATTAGTAAATTAAGTAAGTAATTATAAGAAGAATTATAATTTTAATTAAGAGGTAATATCTTAAGAAAATGTAAAATAATGATAAATACCTTTTCAGAATCTTTAATTAAGAATTTGTTATAATTTATGGAAGAATAATCTTATTCACCAGATGAAAGGATCATTTCTGTATCATATAATTAATATTCATTAGGTAAATGAATTGGATGATTGTGCATTGTATATAATAACAAAAGGAGATGTAGAATTAATATTTGAAGGAGTAGAAATGAAAGAAAAAATTAAAAGAAATTCATTTAAAAATTATACTTAATTTGATAGTTTTGGAGAATTCTCATTTTTTTCAGGAAATCCTAGAACAGCAACAGCAATTTCAAGAGGTTTTACAAGAGTATTCAAAATAAAAAGATAAGTCTTTTTAGATATCCTTAAATGTTATCCTGATGATTAAGAGAAATACTTTGTTATTAGAGAATAATTAAATTTCAAAGATTATGTTCCTTTATAATTAAGATGTTTTAGTTGTTAGAGTAATACACATATGATAATTGATTGTAATTATGTTCATTATTGTGTTGATAAAGAGAGAGTTATAAAATAAGAATCTTATCCAATATAATAAGAAAGAAGATAAGGACATCAAAGATACAAATAAAAATTTAATTCCAGAATTAATCTAAATATAAATTAGGTTAAAGCTGCTAATTATATTAATGATATTAGTTTCAAGATAACTGAAGATTATGAATCACCAACATAAGCTATGTATGATATATTTGAAGATGTAGAAATAGATGATTAAAGTAATCATACTAATATTTATTAGACTAAAACATCAAATCTCTTATGGATTTTAAACAATAATCAGAAAACAATCAAGATGATGATTAATCATAATAGTAATCTATTATCAATTTTAAGAACAATTTAAGTAAAACTGCTTTATAAACATTATAAACTGCAGGTTTTGGAATTTAAAATATTTAGAAGAAAGAAGGTATCATGATTATGAAATGAATATTTTATAGTATAAATGATATAAGAGGAAGAAGACAGTTCTGATGAATCCAAAAATTAAATAGAGCCAATATATTCTAAACATAATATAATGAATTCAAATCTTAGGTAGGCTAGAAAATCAATGAAGTCATCTAAAAGGATTTCAACTGATAATAATAAACATTATAGACCATCCATAGATATGAAAATAATTGGAAATCATATATAATCTGATTTAAATATAAAACATCAATCAAATGTTAGCAATAATATCAAATCTAACAAATCATAAGCTTTACGAACATTAATACATTAACATAATCCAACTATTATTACAACTTTATAAAACTTACCTTAAAGTACCTTTTAAGTTAATTAAGTTATTTAAGGATTTGAAAAAATGCAGATTTATTAATTTTATCAACCTAAATATAATTATGATTAAGTTATTAAGAGGTAAGATGTAATATTGAATAGATATGCAAAATTACAAAAGTTCTTTGGTAAAAAAAGAGTATTTCCAGAGTTTTCAGTATATTCCTTTTTCTATGAAGCAATATAAAAAGGAGCCAAGTTACGAAGGATTGGAGAATTTTAAAAAGTATAGAAATCTCCTAGGATGCTAAATTTGACATTGAAGAAAACCTTGAGGTCTAATTATGCATTGAGTAGATAATTAGGTGTTTAGAATGTTATGAATTGAATTTATATTATTATGTTAATAATTTTATTATATGATGAATTTATTAAGTTAATAATTTTATAATGCTTAATACTTTATTGCTTTTAATTTACTTAGTTTAGGGAGGGTACATTTCAACTTGGGATTTCAGTTATGAATATGATATTGAAGGGAAATTAAGTCTGATCTAGATTCCATTTAGATTAGAAACAACGATTGACAGTGGTTTTCTATAATTTGGAGGAGCTGATTTGCATAAGACTCAGGTAATAATGGTAATAAATGGTTCAGATGTCTGAAGTTACTTGTACCATTTCAACATTAGATGATATCTTAGTTTTAAAAAGCAGTGCTTCATTAATAACTTAGCCATCATTCACATCAGACTATTATTTTAAGGTGTCAGTACAATTAAATGCTGACATTTGGTATTTATTATCGATATATCCAACATCAGTAGACAGTGGATTTTATTATGAACCAATAATCTTAAGGACTATAAGTAGTTTAGATGATAATGCAATGATTTATGATTATAATTACAGAGCTGGTCATTTGAATGTTGATGAATTGCCTCCCTCAGGAATGACTATTACATTCTATATAGATCAAGATCTCTATCCTAATTATGATGAACCTGGTGCTTAATATGTTATAACTATCTTCATTACTCCAAGAGAGAATATCAAAGGAGCATAAATTGAATTACAAATTGTTTAAGGTTAACACACTGAAGGTATTGATGATACTGATTTCTAAATCTTATCGAAATCATGTTGGAGTAAATTTTAAAGTTATACTTGTACAACAACAGAAAAATCAATTAAATTAATTACTTAAGATGACATAATTTCAAATACATAATTATAAATACAATTTGGAGTTGAGAATCCTGGATTTGTGTCTTAAAGAGATATTCGTGTAGTAACTAAATCTCCAACCTAAGGAAACAGAATTATAGAAAAAGGATTTAGATCTAATGTTTTTATGGTTTCCACAATACCTACATAATTAGAAGGAGTATAATATTTGTGGGGCATAGATTCTTAAGAAGATCTTACTGATACCTCAATAGGAATATTTAAATTAGAAAATGGAGCTATTTTAAAAGGACCCTATAATTCAATCAAAGTGTCATTTTCTGTTTAAGCATCTGCAAATTTAGTTTTTCCATTAACAGTTAAAATCAAATTTAATTGTCTATATGCGTTAAGTTATGCCACTAAACATAATTTTCAATCTTACAATGATGAAAATCCTGTATATTGTGAATTTGTGACAGACTCAATTATTTGTCACAATGTTGGAACACTATCTGCATCTAGTGTGTATTATATTTCAACAAAGGGATTATATGATGCTTCTTCAAGTTCTTCAGAATTTGGTAAGTTGAGTTTTTATTTAGAATAGAGTGTTACTGTTAATACTTTATTAATATATGGAGAAAATCCTGGAATTACTATCACTTATCTTTAAGATAGTCATTATTTAGATTTAACTGGATGGCATAATCCATCAGGAGGACTTTTGGGATAAACTCAAGTCACTTCTATACCTACTGACACATTAACAAATTTAAATGATGTATTTGGTAGTGAAGGTACTGTTGGAATTGTGAATGGTGATAAAATGTTGTTATTCTTTATTAAGACATCAAGTACTTAAGTATGGGATTCAACTGTTGTAACATGTCCATCAACAGCAGCCAATTATATTAAGATGACAATAATGATGAATAGTCTTGTTTTACATAGTGATTAATAGAATGCACCAAAAAAAATGTAATATATAGCTAATGATGGTGGTGGAGTATTCAGTGATGAATAGTTGATATGTATTCAAAAAGGATTTTGTGATATTGGAAATCAAAATACTTATTAAATATACTCATCTTCAAATTCAGCTTATGGAATTGCTACATTTATGAGTGGAGGAGGATGTATTACTAATTTCATTAATGAAAACAACAATTTCATTGGTACTTCTGGTTCAACTCCTGGATAATAAGGTGTTATAGGGATTCCAGTTACTTTTTCTAGTACTTTCATCCAATCATCATAGTATGCTGATGAATAATTGTTAGATTTCATAATCAATTTTTATAAAGTTGATTCATCAGGTTAAACTAAGATTAGTTAACATTTAATTAATGCTTATACAATTAATCGAATAAATGATTTGTAAGTCAGTTTTGTTAATTATTATATGGGTACTACAACAGGAAATGATGGTTCATTCATTCCTACTTTATTAAGAATCAAAGTACCATAATTGAGTCTGTCATTTGATAAAGTGTAAGTATTTTTTGATTCTAAAATCTAATTATTTACATCATATTCAGATTGTTATAAATTTAGTGCTTAAAATGGACCATCAGAAGCTTGGATGCTCCATTAATCAATAATATGTGATAAATCCAATTAAATCTTAATTCCAATAATTCCTAAAGGATTGACTTACACTCTTCATATTGCATTAACAAATTAAATAGATGGAATCTTAACAAATATACCTATTAAGGTGTATAGACCATTTGGTTTACCAGTTTCAGGAGAAACTAGAAAGTATAAACCAAGTGCATTTGCAGTAGAAACAACTGATTTGACGTTTCCATTTGTGAGAAATCCTTTTGTATTTGATATGCATATTGATGAAACTAAATTTTAGGATGGTTCAGCATATTTAGATATGGAAATTACAACAAGTTCAAATAGTAATGTGGATTTAGAATAAAATTAAAATTAATACATTGGTGCAGGATTGACAATGACTAGTATTGATGTAAATCTATTTGATGAAGCTACTATTGAATCTTATTTTGGTCAATTGTAATGTACATAGTTTGTATATAATACTAATATATATACTACATTTTGTCCATTTGATAATCAAATCAATTATCCACTTCAAATTAGTAATCAAGTTGTTATACTCTATGGTAGATATACAAAAATAGGTTCATTTGTTTCATATGCTTTATCAAATTCTAAAGGAATTCTATAAGCTGCTCTTCAAGATTCAGGTGTTATAGATAGATAATTATATACATGTAAATTAGACAGTACTAGTTAAATATTTGCTAATTCTTTAGGATAGCAAAGACTATAATTTCCTATTAGATTTAGTTCATCAATGAAATTAGGAGGTAATAATTTTGGATCAATCTAAATTGTTATCACTTTAACATTAGCAATTAGTGGAGTAAATGTTGTCACTTCTACTAATTTATGTTCTATTGAAGGTATTAATAATATTGCTTGTACATATACATCTACTGCCACAACCATAAATGTATTATTGATTAGTTCAGTAGCTTAAGTTATTCAAGCTAATACTGTTATAAAATTAACTTTCATGATTTAATCAACTTATGGATTGTCATCATTTGGTACCAATCAACCATTTAAAGTTCAGATTTATGTACCTACTATAAGAAGTGGTAAAACATAACCTTATGGTGATACTTATGATACACCTGCAGTGTTATAGGAATTGTGCAATTATAATTTATTAAATTTATAAAATACTCAATTAGGTAAGATATTTTATATTGGAAATCTTAGATTAGAAATACCAACTTCTAATGGAGTTGGTAAATTGATTTTTGATTTTAGATTATAAAGTTCCAGAGAGTATTTATCTTCATCTAAATAATATGTTTAAATATCACTTGGATTTCTAAGAGATTAAAATATGGAGAGTAACAAATTGAAATGTTAAGTATATGAGGGTTAATAATTATCTAAATTAATTTACTCTATTGACACATCAATTATGCCAAATATTATTATTAAATTTAATCAAGATATTACAAATCCTCATACTATTTTATTTACAATGAAATGTAAAAATTTTGAAACTCCTACAAATACATTTTCATCTGAATCTCTTATAGGTAAATTAGTAGATTCTGTTGGAACTACTACTATTCAAAGTAGTTCACCTATAGGGTATGCATAATTGAATACAATATAATATATTCCAAAAGGATAAATTCTATTACAAACTAAGACATTGAATAGTCCTGGATTTGATGCAATTTATGAATTTGCTATCACAAATGCTGATCTTAAAATACTATTAACTTATATGATTAAATTATAATTTCATGATGGAATATCATTGAGTCCATATGTCTCATGTCAATTAAATTCTACATTTTGTTATTGTACTCTCAAAGATGGAATATACATAATAAATGTTTGTATTGTTATTTAACCATCTGAATTAGCCATTCTAAAAATTACTTTAGCTTAACCAAATAGATTACATTGGCCAATACTTCCATCAATTTATATTTCTATTGATAAAGATGATGATTTCACAAATGGAGTTTACATGTAAGAAATACTTACAGATACCTTATCAGATGAATATTAAATATAACCAATCGAAGTAGTAGATACAACATTAAGTAGTTATTATATTAGAACATCTCAAACACATAAATTAACATTGTTATTACCTTCTGGATCAGTAATGATTGGTAATATATTGTATATTGAATTTCCATCCTTCTATATGGATCCATTAAGTAGAGCTACTGCAATCACTTGTTCAATTACTAGAGATGATGATAATACTAAAACCAATTTCACTACTACATGTACTATCATTACTAGATAATATATTTAAATGATCTTATCTGAAGATAGTGCCAATAATTTAATTAAATAATATACAATTGAATTAGGTAACATACCATTACCAGAAGCATAGGTACCAGATGATCCAACTAATGATTATAGACTTAAAATACATATCATTTAAAGTGGTAATACTAAAGTCAAATTTACATCAGCCTTCTATTATTCAATTCCACTTTCATTAATTCAAGAAGATAAACAAGATGTTATATGGTCAGGTGGACTATTTAAATATGAAAGAGATGAAAATCTAAATATCGTAGACGAAACTACTAAAATTATTAATATCTTTATTGGTACTTATCGTACTTTAATTTCATTATATCCCATCTCTTAATCCAGTTTTTAAGAAACCTTTGGATACCAAAAAAGCATACTAAAAACATTTCCATCTTCACTTTCTGTCAATAGTGGTTCCTAAAATTCATAATTTCTGACTGGTGCTGATCCCAATATTACTATTGGTTATTAAGTTTTTAAATTCTCTAAATTAACAGGTGGATCTAATTATGTAAGTGTATTACCTAATATTTATGCAAATATAGTTAATTCACCTTGTCAATTAACTACTGAGTAAACTATATATTAAGTTCCTTAAGGAGGTACTTCCTAACCAATTACAATAAATGTTGGAAATTGTTATCCCATGTCAGATTTACGTATATAGTTGATTAATAATAATTCAGCTTTGAATGTTATTTCCAACAATCCCTAAAATATTATTTACTCAGGAAAATCCTAATATAAGTTATATTTTGATAAGTATGAATTCATTTGGTAAATAAACAATAATGATACAGTCTTAGAGGTTGGAACTTAAGTTGAATTAGCTTTTGTTTTAACAGGTGTTAGTTCACCTTATTATTCACCACCTCCTAATATTATTATTGAAATTACTACATCTCCATCAGACTTTCCTGTCTTAGAATTTGATATTTAACCTATTGCTTATAAAAATGACATCAAATTTGCCTTTAAATGTAATAATATTGGAACACTCTTTTGGGTTATTGGATGTGGAGGTGATATCACCTACATACCTCTAGAAGAAATTTATAATCAAACAATATATTAAGGTTACTCAAGAACTCAAAGGAATCTAAGCGATTTAGAATGGAAAATCTATGGTTTTTAATTAATTAATGGAGTAACTAAAGAACATTTTAGTGGATTGAAATCATTCTCAGATTACACTATTCAAGCTTATTGTGCTGACTTAGTTGGTGTTTCTAGTGAAGCTCTTATTTATAATTGGCAAACAAGATTCAATGGAGGAAATGGAATTAAATTGAATATTACATTCAGTAGTCCTTTAACTTCAATATAAGAATTAGAATTAATTTGTGGAATCAATTATATCTTTACTATTGATTATAATAGAATAACTGATGCTAAGGGATAAATGTGTAACATTGAAACTCTAAATATCCTTTCATTATCATCTAATGATATAGCAAGTACTTTAACAGGTGTCTTAACATCTTATTACATCTATTTCCAACCAGATTTATCTTTAATGGATGAAACTATAAATGATGTTGTTCAAGAAGCTATGAATGATAAAAAATCATTCATATCATTATTATCGAATAAAATGAGCATAGATCCAGAAGAAGATCCTACTATTTTTAATGTAATTTATTCAGAACCAGATCAATCAACTAAACCAATATTAAATTATACAAAACCAGAAGTAGGATCTATCAATGCAACCATGAATTTTACACTATCTAAAGCCAAAGGTTATGTTGGAATAGGAATAGAATAAACTGATACTGCATAGATTCCATCTATAGCTTAGATTAGAAAATCAGTAAACTTTCTTGGAAGATCTTTGCATTAAAGTTTCCTTCTATTTTTTAATTATTCCAGCGCCATTTAAAATTAAACTTAGTAAGTATGGTTCACAAATCTAAGTCCTAATCTAAAATATAAGGTATTTAATTTTTTAATTATTTTAAGATTTATTGGTTTTATTCTAATGATGATACAGGTTAATTAGCCAAAGTTTCTAATGTATCTTCAGTTCAAATACAGACTAGTCCATCTTAAACTTATAGTGGTGGAAGAACACATTTTCTTCTACTCATAATGATTATGATATTAATACATTGATAAATGATAATAATTATAAAAAGATTGTTATGTTTAGAATTCATATATATATATACCATGATATTATATTAAAATAAATTAATATGTTAATAACAAAATTCAATGATATAGAAAGATAATATTTTTAAATATAAAAATGTCTTATTTATATCATGAAGAACTTTTTAAATTAAATATTAATTATTAATAACAATTTGATAATAAAATTAAAGTAAAAATATATTTATCATTTTCATATTCCACTTCAAAATGAGTTAAGTAAATAATTAATAGAAATGAGTTAATAGACATAAAATAATTAATCACTCTTTTTCATATTAATAATAATATTTATTATAATATATATTTGAAATGTAGGAGTGGCCTAAGAAATTATTTTTAGCAATAGCATTCATTTCATGCTTTACATGTTATGCAAGACCAGATTATAATTTACCTTTATTTGCTTTTGCATATTTATTATGGGACATAGATAGACCTGTATAAATTTTAGTAAAATCAAATAGGTTTCACAAAAGATTAGATTAATATACTTATTTGTATACTCTTGGATTATTGATTTTGTTTGGTTAGTCTATTGGGGTCCATTTTGGAACTCATCAACATTTTCACATAATTGGGCAGATGGAATATAAACATTTGTGTTGGTATTGTCAATTATCAACTTTATTATTAAAGTAGGATATTTGATTGATTTGATTAGTTAGGTACAATAGTCGTATGTATTTTGGCAGAGAAAGAATGTAAGGATGCTTTACATCCAGAAAATGCGATGGCACATGCAAAGAATATTTTTAATAGTGAGGTTTAGCATTAATGAATTACTTAATATAGAAAATTTTGAAAAAAATTAATATCTATTTTAAAATTAATGTCACAATAAGTTCTCTGGGAAGTGGTTAAAGGAAACAATGCCTTTTTGGTTAAGAGAAATGGATTGACATTGTCAACAGATCCATTCAATAACACAGGTGTATAGACATATAGCAGTACAGGTAATTGGGTCGATGTAATTATTTTAAAGGATTCATCAGTAAGAATGCAGTTGGTGTTGTTCCAACCTCAGGAAAAGTTAATTAGATTAACAATATTAATTTGGTCGCAAAGAAGAGCACAAAATTCTAATAAGTTGATAGAAAAGCTAAAAACACTCAATCAGTTTATGCCTCAACTTTGGCTGTTAAACATGGAGTACACACTGCTTCCAGAGTAATTATTTTATTAATATTCTTAGGTTATCAGAAAGAGATTCGGTACTTCAAGAGTTGGATTACAAAAGGCAGCTCTTAGAAAGTTGGTAAAGTTAAACAGAGCAAATGCAGTCAGAAGAAGAAATGAATTAGCTGCTGCTAAAGCTTAAAAGAAATGATTTGCATATTATCAAACGATGTACAATATATATAAAGAAATAAATCATTATGATATTCTTCTTTTCTAATTTGTTTAGTGTTATTGTAAATTGATTGAATAAACATCATTAAACATTGAAATCTCTAGATTATGATTTCATATAAATAAATATGAAATCATAATGTTCAGCTCCAAAACCTGATTTTTGTTCATTGGAATAACAACCTCCATCATTACCAGATGATGGTATTTCTCATGATAGCAAGAAATCATTAGATTTTGTAAATGAGGCAACTCTTAAGGTTCGCTATGATAAATTTGGGAATCTAATTGACAAAAAAAAACGGTAGTAATAAGTGTCTTTTAGAGACAGAATAGAAAAGACTTAAAAATTATATGATTTAATAGTGTTTGATCATTTTAAAATTGAATAGGTTGATAAACAGAATAAATAATTAAGATAAAACTAACAGTTGTGTTGTAAAATTTAATGAAATTCATAATTATCTATTTTGTTTGTAAATATGTACTATACTTTTAAAATATCATTATTTTTATTATTCTTCATGATGTTCTTTGGCTTATTTCTTTTCAAGAGCAGTCAAATACAAACCATTATCATCTGGAAGTGAAATTAAAGGTTTCTTTCCTTTACCAATAGTGAAGATGTTGTTAATTCTTGTTGAAAAGTGTTTTCCATTTGAATCCTAATAAATATTTACATTTATATCAATACTTTGACATGAACAATATCAAATGATCCAAGATGTCTTTCTCTATGTTGAATAAGTCCAACTCTTCCAATATTGTTTCCTCCAATAATATAGCACACATTTCCTAATATAATTAATTGCATTCAAATACCTGGTTCTTCTTTGATAAAATCAACAACCTTTCCTGTTTCCAAATCTATTTTAAGAGTGTCATTAACATGAATTTCTGGATTTGGATATCTAATTGTTCTGGCATCATTTGTAACAATGTATGGAACATTATTTGGTCCAACCTTCTTTTAAGTTACTTTAACAAGCTTAAATTTAGCTTCATCTGGTTTAATGGATTTTAAAATGAATTTTCCTGAAACATCATACAATACTCTAAAACTCTCTCTTGTCTTGTCAATTGTAATGACATCTGATTACAAATTATATATTAATTAATACCCATTAATCCAACTGGATATCCAAAGTCAGATCTTACTTTTCCATCAACTTTAATATTGCCATCCTTATCAGCAAGAATCATTTAGACATCTCTAGCATAAAGAGCATATTTCAATTTATGTTGCAATATAATAGACAATGGAATTGATTCTCTCAATTTATGAGGTCCTTATGAGGGTCTTGTTGTCCAATTTCCTCCTAATTTTGAAAGCATCCAACTTTTTGGTGCTGTAATTCTTTTCATGTGTTTCTTAGGTCCTCTAGCCTAGAAAAATAGAACTCATTATCTTACCATGATTGTTTAAAGAAAAAATTAAAATCTTTTTTAATTTAATTCAAAATGTGTGTATTCTCTACATCCTTAATATCAAAAAAATGTTTTGAATTATGAGAATAATATTTATATAAATTTCTGAAATCACATTGTCAATCCAATAATTTATAGAGATTTATTATTATTACTTTAATAATATACCAAATAATATCATAATGAATCTTCATCCTCTTCTTACAATTCATCATTATCTCTAACATTAAATATTCTAACAGATTATTTATAAGCTTATTTTAATAAAACATAAACTCCATCTTCTTAAGTTTTCAAATAATCAACCAAATATCTTACACTTTACCATATTTCATAAGATTTAAAATTAATAATAGCAGCCAAATCTCTTTAAGTAAATGTTTCCACTAATAATAGAGAATGCTTATCTTAATCCTTTTAATTTTATCTAGCCAAATAACCAACCTTTATCTCTTCACATTCTAATAATTATGCTTAACATAACCATTTAGCAATATTATTTGTATTATATACTTAAGCAGTACTAATTTATTTATATAAAATACTTACTTTGTTGTAATACCAGCTTAAGATAATAATGATTTCTTCCAATCAGGAGGTGTTTCACATTCATTCAATGATTTTACTAAAACAGGTTGTCCATCATTATTTTCAGCTTCAACTGTAGTTCTAACAACAACTTTAAATCTTTCTTATCCAGCTCTTACTTCTTCTCCTTTAGCAGCTTTCTCTATTCTATCTTTTACTGAAACTTCTAAATATTTGAAACAAAGATCTTCAGAAAATAAATATTTTTCAGCTTAATCATTTTATTCTGTCTCTTCATCATTTTATAATGAATTTTAAAAGAGCACTGGTTAATTTAAGGTACTTAACAATTACCAACTCAATTAGGCTATTGTACTTTCCTCACAATAATTTCTTACTGTCTTTTCATCTTCAGGCATATCAACTGTTATATTTTCATTTATTGTTTGTAATTCTAAATATGTCAATTCACTTCTATTTTAAGGACATTTATCAAAAATATAAGAATTACCTTTCTTAGTTACCAAAATATCCCAAGGATAAATTGAATATTTGAGTGTTTAAACAGCAAATAACAATTTATCAGTTGTGTAGATAGTTGGTATCTCTTCTGTTCCTTATCTCTCTGCAATAAGTTATTTAAAATATTTATCATCCTATACAGATCCTGATATAACTTCTCCTCCTATAATAGAAATCTTTTTCTCATAATTTGGTCTAACTTTATCAAATTCTTTGTTATATTTTTTTATAGTTCCTATACTTTAGATCTCTTTTATGTCAATCATTGAATATTAGACCTTTTCAATATTTTACTTTTATGTCTCATGAATACTAATCCAATCAGTTTTAATAGAGATTGAATCCTTGAATCTGCATTTCTTATACACCATAACTCTTTTTGCAGCTTAAGACATTTTACTCTTCTTTCCAGTTTAATAATACGATTAATAAACAACTTATTATTATTATTAAGGGACAAAGCCTATCTTTTTTTGCACAGGCTTTTTGACTACTTTCTATCCTACTGTCTCATATTCATCTTCCAAATCCTTTTACACTTATGTTTATTTTGAAAAATCACAACATCTACTTATTTTTTCTTATCTGCTGAATGGCTGGAATAATCTATCCTTAAACTCTTCAAATTAATAATTTGGGTCTGGACAGAAATCAGATAAAGGAGCATAATTCTTTATGAGATTTTGCAAATTAGAATCCATAAATTAAATATTTTATCTAATTTTAAATATATATAAAAATTATTCCATCCCTTATTAAATGATTAGTTCTTACATAACCAAACAAACCTACCCTGCTTCTAGACATTGAATATCATCAAATTAATTGATACAATATCTTATTCTTAACCAGGATTTATATATTTAAACAATCTTCATTATCTATTAATCTACTTATTACAATTTATCACAATTGTATGAAATATGATAATTGAGATGCATGAATGATACTAAAAATTTTAGAACTTTTCACTAATAAAATAAATAAAATTTTTTTTATGAGTTTCGACATTTATTATAATATACTTGACTTTTCTTTTGTGTCCTCCTTATTTTCTAAATAATATAATTATCACATATATTCCTATTTAATTTTGTCCATCTTATTTAATGTTTCTTTTGTTTTCAAATTTGTTCCAAACAGCTAAAATATTCAAAAATAGTTTTTTCAATATATAAGAGCATTTAGACATTGTTTAAGACACTCTTAATTTTGAAAATTACAATCTTTTTTAAAATTCATGAAAATTAAATAAGTTGATTTTATAAATACTTTATCTAAAATAAATGAGTTATGTGAATTTGGAAGTCTTTATTATTTGAAAAGAATTCTAAAGTTGATGTATATTAGATTATTTATAATTTTATTAAGGTAAATGATTGGTTTAAGATAGAATAAAAATTTACAATATATTTAATTAAATGAAATAAAATAGAGTTTCGATATTGACCAAATAAAATATAAGATATGAAGGATCTGTTTATGCTATAGATAAAATTAGAAAAACAGTATTCCTTAAAGAAGTGAAGTGCTTTGGAACTGAGAATAGAGAAGCTGCAATTTTCATCCCTCCATCAACTAAAATTACTCAAATGGCAGAGTTTAACAATGAATAGATTTTAGAGATTAAAAAATTAGTATTCCTTTTAGTTTATTTTTAGAGCAACAATGAATTTCCTGAACATTTACCAAATAATCTCCATGAATAAGTTCCAAGTTCTCAAAAGGAGAAATTAGTATCACAAATACTAAACCAAAGTTGTACCTATGAAATGACCAGGTCACCTTTGCCTATGATAAACAATAAAAATAAAAGACATTAAATGTCCTAAAGTCCAGATCATAAGAAACTAGATTAAAAACCTTTTTATATTACAAATAATTATTTACAAATGAAGAAAATGGAATAATACAAAAAAATGCTTATGTTTAGATAACACAGATGAATTTGTATACTTTAATTCAATTTGATATATTTTTAATTCTCAGAATAATACATTATTTTTAATATCGAATGGGGAATTGCCAGTGTTAATCAGCAGACATCCAAAAGACAGAAGAAATATAGCCTCTCGAATTTAAATTAGAGAATGTTACTAGTTTTGAAGACTAGCAATTGCAGTTTTGCTAAGCTCAACAAATATTACAATAAGAAACCATAAAGTCTAATAATGAAACATCTGATGATACTCATCGTCCTAATCCATAAATAGTGTGGTAAACATAAACATAGTTTACTACTTATAATCTCATAGTTTAAGTAAGTTTTTCGAAATATAAAATATTAGAAACTTATGGATGAATTGGGCACATATGAAATAGATGATGAGGAAGGATATTTTTATGGAGTCTATGAATAAAAAGATGGTTCATTATATAGGGGTTGTTGGCATCACGGCGAAAAATTTGGATATGGTACTTGAACACAATTCCTATCTCTCTAGGATGCTTAATTTATCAGGATGGGTCAATATTTTAAGGGCAATGGAGAAAAGACAAAGCTAATGGTAAAGGACGAATGATCTACACTGATGGAGACTGGTATGAAGGCGATTGGGTTGATGATTTAAGTTAGATTACTGTTAATTTTTAGAACATGGAAACGGAAAATATGTGCATAATGATGGAACCATCTATCAAGGAGAATGGAAGAATGATTTTTAGGATGGTTATGGATATGAATAATTTACTGATGGATCTAAATATACAGGATAGTTTAAAAATGGTAAGAAGAATGGATTTGGCCATTATTTATGGGTAGATGGTCAGAGTTATGAAGGAAATTTTTAATCTAATTATTTTAGTGGATATGGGTATAAATTCAGTATTATGAATCAGGAAATATATATGGACTGATGGGAGATAGTATGAAGGTTAATGGTTAAATGGAAGTATGGATGGAAATGGAACAATGAAATGGCCTGATGGAAGGAAATATGAAGGATAATATAGTAATGATAAAAAGCATGGATAAGGAATTTTAGAATGGCGTAATTTGTTTATATTTAATGTAAGGTAGCTGATGGCAGAAAATATTCAGGATAATGGGAGTTGGGAAAATAACATGGAATTGGAGAATATTTTAATGGATAAATTAATAAAAAAGGTTAATGGAACTAAGGAAAGCGGCTAAAATGGTTAGATTGAGATTATAGAAATATTCATAATCTTTATTTGCCTTATGCCTGTTTAAGTAAATGTAATAATGTTTCTTATCTTCTACTTTTTCTTTTTTTTATTTGCCTCTATAAACCAAATATTCTCTCTTGATACTATGAATACAAGATATTGTAATATCATACTTTGTTAATTACAATCGAGATATTATTATGAGGATAATAGTTAATGAATTCGTACATTCTTTCGAATTACTAAAATATATCTATATATTATCCCATAATTTTATCTGAATCATCATTTTCATCTTCTGAACTTTCTTCTAATTTTAATCTAACAGATTTTCTTCTGAGCCCTATTTAGTTTATTTAAATTTAAGGTAATAATTATTGTTATTAATGTTACTATTATTATTAAAAATGTTATTGGTTTAATTATTTATATTATTATTATTATTATTATTATTATTATTATTATTATTATTATTATTATTATTATTATTAATTATCATTTATTACACATAATGATTCTATATCATTTCTTTTTTATTACTTACCAATTGTCGGAACTTCATCTTCAATTTTTGGTAATTCTGTTTAAGATCCATGATTTATTGAAAGTTTATGATAATTTCTTAAGTTTGTAGTATTTATAATTTAATTATTACGAAAAGTTCTAGGAGAGTCATCAACTTAAGGAGGCAATAAATTTCCAACAGATTATAATACTCTTTAAGATTAAGATTGTTTACTTGAAGAATTGATTAGAAGTGGAGGTAGAACAGAATTATTTGAGTGATGAACTGAGAGTCCTATAGGTATTTAATTGAAAGTAAATTAATTGTTTTAAATTTGCTAAGTTTACATTTGTAATTCTTTAAAACCTTCAATATGAATAAATTCTTCATTCTTCATCATGTAATTCAAGATGCTTTCTAAAACAATAAACTGATGTTTCAAAGCATACATTTTTCTTGAATGATTATGCCTTTAGAAACAAGGCTTTCTATCAGTTGGAGTAAATTTTCTATAGTTATAGATAGCTTTTGCTTTATTTGGTGTCCCAAAAAGAAAAGGACATGAATTGATAAAATGGGTATTACTTTAACATGTATTACAAGTTACTGATATATGTGATAATTATTTTTTTTGAACAATGTCTTCTGAAATTTATTTGAATTTTTCCTAAAAAATATTGTAAAATAAATCATACATAATCAAAGGGAAAATCTTTATAAATGTTGTGAAGTGATTCTCTAGAAATATGAAGAATTTTAGTTGTCTTAGATGCAATAGCATCATAAGAATAAGGTTAATTGTAAAAGAAGTCTAATTGCCCAATAAAAGAAGGTACATCAATATTTTACAGTAGCTTAATCTTATCTCTCAATTAGATTTATAACTTAATTTCTCCAGAAACAAGTATATATAAATATTATGATTACTTATTTCTTGTAAAAAGATAATCATTTGACTAAATTTATTTCTCTTCTAAATTCATACATAATTTATTCAAAAGTGGTTAACTAAAATTTTAGAAAAAACTTATTTGATTTATTATCTTTATATTTACATCGACAATCATTTGATCCTTTAAACTCCTTGGTATTAAATCAGCAAATTATATAACCTTTTAAGAAGGTTTGCTCCATAAATATTCAAAATATCTTCTGAATTTAATTTGTAGATCATCTGAAACATTTTAACTTCTTAGAAATCTATTTAATTCGTTCATATTATTTTTAAGTTGAACAGATTATTTGGAGAAATCTTAAAAAATACCTCCAATATTATTGACTGTATAAGCAAATGTTGCAGAAGAAATCATAGTCATAAAAATTACAAATATTCTTTCTGTCAAATTTACTGGTGTGATATCTCCATATCCAATAGTAGTCATAGTTACAATACTCCAATAAAAAGAAACAACATATCTGTCTAACCATGATTCATGTTATATATTAATTACTTTGATCCATGTCTTTCCATCTTCATGACCCCATTATCCCCATTATCCAAGAATATGCCAGATACATGCAGAAAAGTGTGCTACCAAAATCATAAATGAACTAGGATATCATTTTACTTTTACATCATTTTGAATAAATCAAAAATTGCTGTTTGTCTTGAAGTCAATTCTAATCGATTGAATAATGAAGAAAATAAACCTGAAAGTTAAAACACTTTCAAAACAATTACAAAGTCTAAATGATTAAAATTTAGTAATTAACCAATAAAAAAAGGCACTACCAACAATAAATCAATTATTAAACCTATTTAAAAATACAAAAATTACCTTCTGCACAATAATGTTTAATAATTTTTATCCTATTTGAAATAAGATTACCTCTAAAGTATATACAAGTATTGAATTTCAATAAAATGTCAAGGAAAAAAATAAATACTGGGATTTGTTCAAAGATCAATTCCTTACCAATCAAAGACAATTCTCTGATTTCAGGAAATGATATTCTTAATGATACATAAAATACATTAATTGTAACAATTACAATCATAGACACATTCCATACTATCATAATTGTATCATCTGGTTTCAAAAGCCATTTTTTGTGATTGTTTTGTAAAAATGTATTTTGTTATTCTTTAATATTTAGTAATATTACATATAATGCATGAGAACCACAAATGAATTTTCATTAATAAATAAGAAGGTTTATCTTTTGGAAGGTAACCTCGATACTTGAAAAAATTATAATCAGAGGAAGAATCATGAATTAAGTTGAATTCAGATTTTGAAATATTTTTTAAGTCTTTTCTGAATATTTGTTGTGTTACTAGAAACAAAAATCTAGAAACCAAAATAATAATCTTAAAAGCCTTGAATTTCCAAATTGGATTCTCAATACCAAAACTTAGTCTCTAACATCTTCTTCCCCATAATAAAACCTTTGAGCTTTTATTCATATTTGTCTCTAATGGCTCTTGCAATTCATCATTATTGGTTATTTGACTAATAATCATAAAATTATTATACAACATTTTATGATTAAGAAAGCCTATTAATCGGTGAAAAATATTTGGAAATTGTTCTATAACGAAAAATTAAAATTCATTGATGAATTCGAAGAAAAAATGTCTTTGAAAATACAATAACATTCAGCTAAATATGAAAGCTCTTTTTAGAGACAAATTAGATTCACATAATTTAGAGTATGCTTAAGATATCTAATTGGAGGAATGTTGATCACTTCTGTAAGTATATTTTTTACTGATAAAATTCATGATCCAAATCGACCCATGGATGTAAGCATTGAATTACTAGAATGCACAAATAATATGGATGAGAGAGCATTCTTTGCATTTGATGAGATTATTAAGAAAGGACAAGATATGAAAACATTGGATGTTTCTACATATTGTGCCCTGGGTAATATGTTAGCCAGTATCAATTAAAGTGAATTTTCATAAACAGCTTTTTATTTTGCTCATCTTAAAAACCATAAAGAAATCAAAGCTAATTCAGATTTACAATTTGAAACAGTAACAAAATCAAAATCTGGAGGAGCAGAAGGATAGTGATATTATAATATTATTTATTTATGGACAAACTCGATAAAATAATTGCATAATTAGATGAGTTAGAGATAAGTCAAAAACACAAAGAAGTCTAGATTAAACATAATCAAAATTCTTTATTGTTAAGACTACCTAAAGTAAATCAATTAATAAACTAAAAGGTGATATTAATTCAAAGGATTTGTGGATTTTTAGATGATCAAGATCTATACAGATTTACGGCTACTTGTTCTACTATGAGAAAAATAATGTTTTCTCCTTTGGGATTTAAACTATTAACTTTAAGTAGAAACGCATTACATATTGTTGGAGGAAACAAATAACAATAACAAATACTAAAGTAAGAAAAATAAGAAATTGGGTCGAGTGGAAATTAGTCTGAAAATAATAATAGTGTTTTTGATTCAGAAGAAGATGCTTTGGCTCAATTACAGGCTTTAAAATCTGTGAAAGAATTTTTAACAACAAAATTGCAATAATCTTAAGCTTAAATACAAAATATTGAGGATTTGATAACTGATTCCTCAGATACATTGAAATATGAAAAATCAGTCAATATGAAATTGTAATCCAAAATTAATATACTTCAAAACCAACTCTCCATTTCTGAATTATAAAGACAAGATGTTAAAGAAAATTTATCTGAATTAAATTCTGAATACAATAAAATAGTAATTCTTATTTCTAATTTAGATAAGCTAAATGGAATAGGATAGAGTATTACTCTAAGATGAAAAAGATAAATTATTGGGACATAAGAAGGTACTTATTCAAGAAGTTTACAGATTAAGAGGAATGGTTTCTTAAATGGAAGAGGATCAAAATAATTATTAATCAGCTTTAAAATAAATTAAAGTTTTTATGGACACCATAGATTTGAAACCCATTTGATTAATTTTAATATTTATTTATTTAATTATATATATATTGTATTTAATTTTTGTAAAATTTGTTGATTATAACAAATTGTAATTAATTATATACTTATATTATGCTTTTATTTAATTGAATTAGATTCAAGTAAAATTTACATTAAAAGAATATTATTTATTTATGGAGTAGGAATTACCATCATTATCTGAACCTTTTACATGGATTTCATATGCAATTTTGGGATCATTAGTTGGATTAGCTTAAGCAGGTGGAATAGGAGGAGGTCCAATAGTATCACCTGTGATGATGGTTTTATTTGGATGTTCAAGTAAGTAAGCTATTTGGAATACCTACATTATGTTATTTGGAGGAAGTATAGGTAATTTTGCAAGATTAGGAAGAGAAAAAGTAAATATCAATTTTATTGTTAAAATAAGATTTCAAATGGTAGTAGTCCTTTAATTAATTATTAACTTGTATAGATAACACTTCCATTGCTTTTAGCAGGAGCTATTTTTGGAGTGGCAAGTGGGAAATGGTTACCAAAATTAGTTATAGTGATATTTTTATTTGCCATTTTATTAAATGTATTTCTAAAAACTAAAAGTGTTTATAAAAAAATTAGGGATAAAGAAAGAAATGACCTTCTTGTTTAAGTTGAGATGAAAGAAATAATTTTTACTGATTACAGTACATTGCCATAAGATTTATAATAGTTAAAGGAAAATGAATCTAAGCTATATCCTACTGATAACCTTAAAGAAATAGCTCTCTCAGTGATTATAGTGGTTACATTGACTTTACTTAAAGGTGCTGCCACTATTCCGTCAATACTTGGTATTGATTACTGTGGATATGAATATCATCTCATCAATTTCATGATTTTTGTTATAGGATATTATAATGTTTAAAGATACAGGTAATAAATTAAGAAAGATGAGATTCTGAAAGAGTCTATAGGATATGACTTTTCTGGGGGAAAAATAAGTTAAGTATATGAAATAACTGTAAAATCAAGTATGAAAGCAGGTTTTTTAGGTGGGTTGGTTGGTTTAGGAGGAGGTGTCGTATTAACACCTGTATGGTTGGAAACAGGAATTAATCCTGCTAGAGCTGCTGCATCTGCTACTTTTACAGTGATGTTCACTTCATTTATATCTGTGTTTATTATAGCTTTATCTGGAGGGTATCATCTATCTTAATTTTTAATTTTGGCAGTAATGAATTTATAAATTTAATTAGAGTGTATCTGGTTGTGGAAGTTATTTGGTTGCAGGAGTGTTAAAAAGGATAGTTAAGAAATATAAAAGAGAATCAATAATAATTTAGGTTTTATTGTATGTAATTGCTTTTGGATTGGTTGTATTACCAATTCAATCAATAAAAGATGTATATTATAATCCTCTTTCATCTATTTAATTTGGTCGTTTATGTTGATAATTATTTTTGGTAAATATTATTTAAGAATCTTATAATATATATAATAAAGTCACATTCTAACAGAGGAATCATACATTCTTCTCTAATCTATTTGTTATTTTAGATGAACATTTTCTTCAGTCAATACACTGATCTATGTATTATAAGCAGCTTTCAAATTACTAATTTAATAAGAATTAGAGGCTTCCAATTTATTTTTCAAATCTTCCAATTAAGTAAACTAAAATAAATAATGGTTAATACCTTTTCTCTTTCTAAAGCTAACTATCTCTATTTAAATTATTCAATTTCATCTCTTGCTCTCTTTAAATCTTTATCTAATAGATTTCTTTGATTGGCTAGATTTTCATTTTCTTATTCTTTAACAGATAGAGTTTCTCTTAATCTTTTAATTTCTAATAATTATTGTTCTGAAGAGATATCACTTTATCTAAGTTTTTCTCGATATTGAATTGTAACTCTATCATTTTTTGATTATAGATCTTAAATTTCTTAATTTTTGGAACTTGTAATAGATAATATTTCTTATTTTAAAGAATGAATTTCATCTTTTAATCTTCTGATATCATCCTCTAATTATCTCTTATGTAAATTAAATTAGGCTATTAATGATTCTTAATCTTTTGTTTTTTGTGATAACATTTCTTTAAGTCTTTCAATTTCACCTTCCAAAAATAAGATTTGTAATTTCTATTAATCAATATTTTCATTTAAAAGAGATGTAGATTTTTAGAATTGATCATCTAATTCATTAATTTCATTATTTTTTTATTTTTCTTATTCAAATGTAATTAATTTTTGATTTTCAATTTCTCTTCTTAAATCAATAATTAATTATTCTAATTGTTATCTTTGTATATTTTTTTCTTCAATTTAGATTTATATTTATTGATTTTTATGTTCAATAATTCCCTTTAAATCATTGATTTCTTTTTCTAGATTATTAATTTATGTTTAATAATAAGATTTTAATGTTTCTTAATCTCTTTAATGTTAATTTTATTGATCTTTAAGAGATGTTTCAAGAATCATTCTTGATTACCTCTCTTAATCTAGTAATTTTTATTTTTAAATTTAAATTTCAGTTCTTAAATCATTAATTTAATCTTCAAACATTTATTTATTTTTAGCATTTTATCCAAGTAATGTTTCTATTTCAGCATTCTTAATTTCAAGTAAACCTTTAAGTTTATCAATTTCACATTATTAAACATCTGATTATCTAGCAAATTCATGTTTCAATAATTAAATCTATTATTATGAGAAATTATTTAGATTATCATTCATATGTTCTAATTCTCTTTATTTTTCTGATTCTTATTAATGAATTTTAACTCTAAGTAACTCATTTTCTTTAAGTAATCTTTCTATTTATATATCATCTTCAGTTTTTTATCTTAATATTTTTTATTAAAGATCACTAATTTCATTATTTTATTCATCAATATGATCTCTTAATTTTCTAATTTAACTTTCACTTATTTCTATTTATAAATTAGTAGCCTTCTTAAGATTCTCAAAATCTTAATTAGATTAACTCTCAATTTAACCAGATATACCAACTAATTATCTTTATCTTTCTGCTTCTGCTTATGATAAAACAGCTCCTAATTTTTATAATTCAGCATTTAATTGTTTGATTTCAAATTCATAATTGGATTTCATTTATAAAATCTATTACAATTAATTTTCATATTTAGATTTCCATAAATCAGCATCAGTTTTTCTCTATCTAGATAATTTTATAAGTTTCTCATTTTCAGTCTATAACATATTATTTTCTTTTATGTAGGATTCAACATTAGAATCATTCGTTACTATGTCATGGGCTCTTCTTTATAATTATTATTATTCTTCAAACAACAGTCTATTCTCTGTTTCTAATTCTAGACACTTAGCCTTTAAGAACTCAATTTCTTAAACAAAAGACCTTGTGTCATGTCTTTAAGGGGATTCTCGAATGGATGAATACATTAAATTATTAACGGATGAAAATTATTAATAAAAATTAATTAGCAAATATATGATATATATATATATCACTCCAATTATTGAACATATTTTAAATAAAAATTTAATTGAAAAAAACATAAATAATTTTTTTAATCTTAATAATATCACATCATTTCTATAAAACTTTTAATAGAGTTTTATTAATTTTTTTTCTCTTTTAATTATAATACTTAATAACTTGATCAAAATTATGTGTTGGATAGTACATCCGAAAACATTTCATCTTATCAAAATCAGCTAGAATAAATAAATCATCTTGCCACACTTTTAAAGATGAAAAATTTTGCAACATTCTCACTAATGATGGACCTTTAGCTTTGTTTCTTAAAATCTTTCTATCTTCTTTATTTTAATCTTTTATAGAATTCTCTCTGTCAATATATACTGTTATGTTATCCTTCTATTCATCTAGAAAATGCCTTTATTCTTCTAATTCATCATATGACTCTTGTTTATTATTATACTTTTACATCGCTTTTTTAACTCTCAGATATTTCATCATCTTCTTCCTTAAATCTTTCAGACATCTTCATACTTTTCATAGACTTTTAATAACATTATGTTGCACTTTATCTTTTAATATCCAAAGACTAAAAGACTCTGTATTTATTTTTTCTTTTTCTAATAAATCCAATTTTCCTTTCATGATTTACAGAATGTCTATATTTAGCTAAAATTAATTCTTTATTTAAATTAAAATAAATGTCTTCACAAATCTCATGTCCAAATTTTCTACATAATAAACATTTCTCATATAAATTATCATGATTATTTTACATAATCTTATCTTTAATTTAATAATATTAATCTAAATCTGTATCTTTTAATTTCTTAAAAAATTCATTTTAAGAAATCCAATAAACTTATGAAAAACCTTCACTTTTACAACTTAATCTAGTATTTTAATTATTTCCATTAAATAAAGATTTTACACCAATTCCATCACCTGGTTTCAAATATCCTACTAATGTTTAATTATCACCAAAAAACAATTTAAGTTCTCCCTTCTAAAGTATATTCAAACCTTAATCATTTGGTAATTATTCATTTGGAGTCAAATTTATTTCTTAAATGCTTTCAATTAGATCTCTCAAGAATTTTAATGAAAAATTGTTTACTAAAGCAGGTTGTTTCAATAACATAACACCTTTATCCTATTCATTTAATTCTTATCTTAATTAAGGACTTAATTTATTGAAGATCTTTTTCTCTTAAACTGAAGGTTAATGTTTATAAACTAATCTAAGATAACTGCTAATTATGTTTAATTTAGTACTTCTCAACTCTCTTTTACAAATCTGAATCTATATTTCGTTTCTTCATATACAAACTTAAGATTTCTAGATCATGTTTGATTTTGCTTTTATTTGCATCTAGATCTTTTAAAATTGAAGTTATTGTATTAAAAACATAAGCAAATATGCATGAAGAGAATAAAGTTAAACAAATACTAACAGAAACTTCATATGGATTTATTGGTGTAATATCTCCATATCCAACTGTAGTCATTGTAGTAATTGCAAAATACAATCCATTCAAATATATCTCTAACCAATGAGAATTATGTAAATCTCTTTAGACTATCCAATTATTATTCATTGAATGTTAACCAATTCCTATCCAAACACAAGCAAAACAATGAGCCAATAATACAACAGTTATTAATAATGTCATTAATTTTAAATGACTCTTAAATTTACCTTTTGGATCAATTTCATATTTAAATACTTCCATAAAATTTGATAATTCCTTTATTTTAAGTATAAATAAATATTTTAATGGTGTAAATTAAGAAAATAAGAATGCCAACAATCCAAGTAATCCTCCAAAATCTATTAGAAATTCTTTCTTAAAATATTATACTATTATTTATCTTGTTTATGTAATCACAGTACCCTTATTGTAAATTTGTACATTTAATCTCATTATAATATCTATTGCTAATATTACTATTTCTATAAAAAATATTGGTTATTAAATCTGAATAAATTCATCTAATTAAAAGATGAATGAATCTGACAATGGAAAAATAAAGCATAAATGTAAAACTAATAAAAATTTTAAAAAGCTCCAAAATATTAATAAAGGATGACTTGCTTTTATACTTCTTAAACCTTACATTCTAACCATATTCATTAGATTTGTTACTATCAATTATAAACTAAGATTCTACTATTTGTATTAGTAATATTATTTTTCAAATTGAGAAGTCTCCTTCTCTTTTTTTACAAATTAATTGTGACAACTAGATATATCATTAAATGCTAGCAATTAATGTTTACTAAGTAAGTATATATTCTTTATTTTTGTATATTTTCTTAATTTAGTAATAGCTTTCAATAATATGTCTTTCAACTTAGACTGTGTATTAATTTGTTTTAATTTTATTTGACCAAATGCCTCTTGATACAGTAATCTCTGTTCTCCAACAGGTGATTATATTTAGTAATTGCTTACATGAAGGTCATTAAGGTACATTTAATTCAGAAACTCTTATAAATATATAAATAATTTGTCACTCAATTTATTTAATAATCAATTCCTAAAATAAAGAACACTTCAATTTAATACATAAGTAGAATTATTAATCCAAATATTTAATCATTTTAATAATATCAAATCTCAAACAAATAATACAATCAATTTAATCGATCTTATGACTTGTTTCATAAAAAAAGTAATCCTATAAGTTGAACATCGATCTTACTTTTTTCTTCCAATAAAATATAAATATAATAATGAAATATAATTTTTTTTAAAATCATTATTTACACTATTGATAGTGATAATGATATTCTTATCATCTTAAAAAAATGATTGAAAAATTCAATATAAATTATTTTTAAACATGACAGTAACAATAAAAATATAATTTTAGCATAAAAAAGATTCAGTATTTTCAAAATTTGTGGTACATTCAATCATATGTTAAATTTTATATTAAATTTACAATTATTCTCATGACCACATATTTTAACTTATTTAACTTATGCATAGTTAATTAAAGTATTAACTATTAAATATTAAATATAAATTTAATTATATATTGGAACAATTTATTTTTTTAGAATTTCCTAAAATGTTCTAGTACAAATAAAATAGAACTTAAATTATTCTGAAATTAATTAAATATGTTACTATGTTTTTATAGATCATAATGATAGGCAGTTTAATTACTTTTGCTCTTATATTGTCTTAATTGAATTGAATATCAAATATAAATTATACTTCTTCAAATATTCTGATGAAGTGATCCATTCATTAGATAAAACTATTTATAATTTAAATTATTTTCAAATTCTTTATTTATTGTATTTGATTATCATACTTTTTAAAAAGTATTTAACAAATACAGTAGTATAAAACCTTTGTTACAATTTTGATAGTGGCAGTAAACACTTTAGAAAATTAAAATGTTTTTAATTAGTCAAATACTATGGAGATATTTTAGATTTAGATATTGTATTGTCAACCATTACAATACATACAAGTTAATCAAAACTTAGTAAAATAATAATTTTTTAAGTTTTGCTCATTTATCAATTAGTTTTTATAGTTTGATAAAGTAATATATGAATTCGATATGGAAACTAAAGATTACTAATTTAGAAAACAAAAGAAGCAAAATAACATTATTTGCCACAGATATATTTGAATCTGTTTGTATTTATTAATTCATAATTTATCTTAAATTATTGATAATATAAATAAATAATAAAAATGCAATAACTAAAGCAATTACAAAGCAATGAATAACAAATGTACTTCAAATCTAAGTTGATTCATAATCTCTAAAACTACTTACTGAGTAACTAAAAAATAAAGGATTGTAAAATGTAAAGTAATCCATAAGATGCTGACTTATTTCTAAAAGAACAAAACAAACTCAAATTAAATGGACTATAAAATAAACCACTTCATTCATTAGTGGTCTTATACAAAAATCAGCTAAAAAAAAGCTGATTATCTGATTATTATTATTATATGGTATTTTCTCGCTAAAAATATTTGAAAAGAACAATATTCTAATATATATTAAAGTTTTTATAATTTAATAGTTATATTAGATTTTCATATTTTTTTGGACTAAAGGCTAAATTTATCAAATTTTATGACATAAAAAATGAAAATAGGATGTTAAGTTATATATATATGTAAATAATCATTAATTTAAAATTTATTGGAAAAAATTTGGATCAAATGCTTCTTTGTCCCCAAAACTTTTATTGTGCCTTCTTTAATATAAATATCAATATAAGTGACTCCATAACCTTTATTCATTCAATAATGCATTGGAATTTTCAAATATGAATTATCCATATTGAGCCCTTGAAGTAACAACATCTGCTCTCCATTAGTCTTGTTAAAATTCCAAGTCCTTTACTTCTAATAATAGAAATAATCATGATATCATTTTCTTTGCCCTGAAAAACATCTATGGTTTCAATTTCAACATAATCTAAAAATTTTGGATAGAATCTATAAAGATATTTTTAATTAATTTAATCTAAACTCTATAAGGAGTTATAATTGAAATTGCTCTTTCATTTTGATTACCATAATCTTATAATCATTAATATACTAAATAGAATACTTCATACGTTTCAATTATTACTGTTAAATTATGTGCCACAATGAACATCAAACAAAATGAAAATTATTTGAATTATTCAATTTTTTTGTCAAATATTATCGATATTGCATTTTACTTACAGATTCTGAATCCTACACATTTCCTTCATAGAAAAATTGGGAAATGACTCTATTAAGATTTTGCATTGATTTATACTGAAAATTCAGCATAATGAATTATTAAATTGTTTGTAGAAGTCTTTCATAGAGATTTCTATTATAATTTTATTCAAAAGCATTAGTATTATCATAGATAATTGGTCCAAGTTGGCGATGATCTCCAAAGAATACTAAATTGTAGATTTTGTGCTTAGAGAGTGGTATTAATGTGGAAGGTTTAATATACATAGGAGCTTCATCAATAATCCACAAGGACACATATTTTTCTTGCATGTATTATTCAAGCAAGGATGATGCACAAATAGTTAGAGTAGAAACAAAAATTTAAATACCTTAAAGATTATTTAACATCCATTCTTTATATATTTCTTTTTTAATCCTAGAATTTAGATACATGTTGAGTAGAATCTTCTTAGATCTTTTTTTTTAAGATTCCTATCTATACAAGTCGTTATCAACAGAAAATCTTTATTAAGGATCTAAATCATCATAAAAATCTTTAAGATCATAAATCTTTTCATTTAATTATGATATCTTTTATTTTATATGAATCAGAGTCAATTAATCATACTTTTATAAATTAGGCTTCATTAATTCACAAATAGATTTTTTTTCATATTCTGGAGTAAATTTCATAAAGAATTATCTTTATGTTTAATTTCTAAACAATAATCATAAATATCAGGATCTGATTTGTCAGCAACATCTATTCTTATTATTTTTGCATTTGAGAATTCCTTATTAATTTTTCTAATCCAATCATTTATAACTGTATTGGAATGTCAACAAGCTAATATTAAATGGATTTGTATAATTAGTTGAGTGTTTAATGGTATTCATTTAGGATTAATTGAATGTTTATTATTTTTAAGGTATTCTTCAGTAAGTTATAAGAGAGGAAGTGCAAATTCAAAGGCTGATTTCATTAATGGACGAAGTTCAGACATGATACCGAACAAATTTACTTATTCTTTTTCATTTCTGATGAATATTTATATAATATAACTTTTAGCTGCTATAAATTCAAAATATTCAGTAATGCACTTCTTTTTCCATGTGTATTTATCATCTTAATCAAAATCCCCCTTCAACTGCTTCCAAAACTAAATACTTGCCTAGAATGATATTTTTTCTATCAATAATTAATTAATATCTTAAAAGTAATGGTAATGATAGATTTTTATATTTTTTTGTCATATTATCTTCTGTACTTTTTACATAAGCTAATGTTTTTCATTAATAAATGGAGCTAAAATGTATTGCAAATTCTTACTTTAATAATCATCTTTCAATTCTTTCATTTAAGATTTAGATTCATTAAGTAATAGTGTAAATAAATAACTTACATCTTCTTATCTAAATTTGAGATGTCTTGTTAATTAATCTTCTTTTTATTACTCTATGAATATCTTTAATGAAGTTGTAGTGTTTGGAGTGTTAAATCTAATAACATTAAGCATGGGCTATAATTATATGGCATTGCTTAATTTATGAATTTATTCAATTTATTAATGCTCATCATTATCATCTTGAAATTTAAATTCCTTTAAAACTATGAATCGAAGATTTAAAAACATTATTAGTTTAATTTCAGTTTGATATTCTATTTAGATTATTATTATTCATTTCCTTCAATATATTTTTGGTTGATTTTGTAACAAACTAAAAAATCACTTATAAACATATATTAAAAATTAAAAAATAATTTTACATAAATTACATATTCAATCTTCATCATATTATTTTCGGCATTGTCTTAAAAATACTTATTCTAAATTAGCTTATCTAATAGTAAATGATCCAATCAAATCTTCTTAACATAAATTCTTAAGAATCTTAATTGTTGTAGCAACATCATATTCATTACCCAATTTGATAACAATCAATAATCCTTCTTTTTAATGTTTTGGAAAAGCCAAAATTACTTAATCCAAAGCCTCTTTATTTTTAGCCCTAATAGTTAGTATGATTCCACTCCCATATTATTCAATTAATTAATTAACACTCTATTATGGGAATGGTTATTGTCCATTGATGATAAAACTTATACTATCACTTAAATATTATGCTTCATCCATATCATGTGTAGTTAGTATAATAGAACTATTTCTTTTTTATACATGAGCTTTGATCATATTTTGTAGATTTCTTCTTGAAATAGGATCAAGTCCATTTGATGGCTCATCAAGAATAATCATACCACTATCTCCAATGAGACTTATAGCTAAAGCAACCTTTCTCCTTTGACCACCAGACATATTCACTATTTTTCCTTTGATTTATAAAATCCTTAAAATCTAAGAAATTTCATTTTTCACATTCCTTATACTTCCTTTGATTCTTGCAAATAAATATAAGATTTCTTCAGCAGTTAAATCTTCCCATAAACCTTCAGATTATTAACAAGATGAAATTATCATATTTTCATTGTACATGATACTTCCCCATTTAGCTTTAAGACAATCAGTAATTAATTGAATAAGTGTAGTTTTACCAGCACCATTTGGACCTAGAAGTGTCAATATCTTTTATGGAGATAATTAAAGATCAATTTACTTAAGTACTTATTTATTTGAAGTATATCCAAATTATATATTCTAAACTTATAATTTATTGTTCTTATCTAATAAATTCTTTCTATTTTCAAATAATATTATATTTTTTTCTAGAGTATAATATAAAAACATATAAATGATGAATTAAACCACAAAATAAATAGAATAATCTTGAATCTCATCCTTTAATGCTAAATTCAAAGTATAAAGTGGGAATATGAGTGTAAATATTTCACTATATTGATTTTATAGTTAAAGATCAATCATAGAAGGTAGAAAATAACAAAATAAAAAATTGATAACTGGGAATATTTTAAAAGCACTTTAATTAGAACTGAACATAAAAGATGATGCATAAGAGAATGAAATTACTGATAATCCAAATAAACTTAATATAATTAGCAATTATTCTGATGTTTAGAGCATTTCAATTTAAAGTGATAATACATAGATGAATGTAGTTACAATCAATATAATGAAGTAATCTCCTATGAATGTACCAAAAATGTATGTAAATTAAGACATGCCCATTTATTTTAATTATTATCTAATTTTAAGTTCTCTTTCAAGAATTGGAGTGCTAATAAATATTGATGAATTAAGACTGAATGATTGTGATATAAATAAGGATACAAAAAATTAGGTTTAGGCTTCATCTTATAATAAATGATATCCAAAAATATAAGCAATTAATAAAATTAGCATAGGTAATATTAACATTAATTATAAAGTGAAATTTCTTTTGAGAACATAATATTTTTTATATAGTAAAGCAGATATTTAAAGTAATTATTTAGTTTTTACATCATTAGTAGATTTGATAGGAAATGAGTATTCCTTGATTATTTTATCATCCTCTAAGTTGTCTTTGTTTAATTTTAGATATGCTGCTTCTAAAGTATTCTAAATCAATTAGATTTTAATATTTTCTGTTTTATTTAATTCATTTAACTTCTCAACAATAGAAAATAGTTAATTTTAATTAAGAATATATTTAATGTTGTCATATTCTAATTTTGATCCAATAGAACATTCTAATTCAGGAAATAATAATTTTATTTTTGATTATTATTGAGATGATTAAATATTCCCAAATGTCAATGTAAATCCTACTTCCAATTCTTTTTTTATATTATCAGGAGATCCATATATTTTAATTTATCCTTATTTCATAATTGCAATACGATCAGCCAATTCTTCAGCCTCATCTAAAAAATGAGTAGTCAAAATAAGAGTTTTATTAATTTATTTTATTTCCTTCAATATTTTCCATATTTATCTTCTAGACTCAGGATCAATACTAGCAGTTGGTTCATCAAGAAATATGATTTAAGATCCTCCAACCAAAGCTAAGGCAATTTATAATTTACGTTTATTTCCACCACTTAATTCATGAGTTTTATAATTTGAATATTATTGTAATTACATTAAATTCAACCACATATCAATTTCTGTAGTTGAATCTGTTCCTCTCATCATACTTTAATATTGCAATGATTCTGATACTGTTAATTAATCATATAATAAATTCTCTTATGGACAAAAACCAATTAGTTTTTGAATTTCATCTCTTTTTTTATCAAAACTTTTTCCAAAATATAATATCTTGCCACTAGTTTTTTCAATTAATCCTGTCAATATATTAAGAGTAGTAGTTTTGCCAGCTCCATTCTATCCCAAAATACAAAGGATTTATTGAGAATATATTTTCAGATTCAAATTATCAACTGCCACAATATCACCATATTATTTAAATAATTTCACAATTTCAACTGATGTAAATGCTAAACCCTCTTCATCATATTATCTTCTCATCTTTATATATTCTACTTATTACCTCCATTTAATCTTCTAATTAGACATATCCTGTCTTATTCTTCCTTGTCCATAAACATCTCCCACCTTTCATACATTGTTCTTCCAAAACATTAAACAAAAAATAATATGCTACTAGATGAATTGATAAACTTAAAATGCAATAATTTGACACACTTTCTATATTGCTACCATTTAGTTTATTCATCAGATAAAATGAAATAATTGATTATGGACACACATAAACTAAATATTCCAATTAGTATAAGGATGCAAAATAGAATGTAGATAAGATTGTTTAAAAGAATGAACCAAATTCTCCTGCCAATTAAGAATTGCTAAAAAAAGTGGATAATAATAAAGTCTATCCAACTTAAGCAAAAATAAATAAAATAAAGCATACTATCATCTAAAGTGATTATTAGAAATTTAATTTATATAGCAATGTTATTAGTATAAATGAGCCAATGAGTATACTTTTTATTATATATGTAATAAACCAAGCTATCCTATAATTTTACAATTTCATCCCCATTATCTAATATTAACAAATACAATATACTTTATATAGATCTCTATATTTATTTGTCTTCTCATGTACATATTCCACTAACAATTATCTACATAAACCTACAAAACAAGATGGAATGTAAACAGGCACCATAATTGCCATGAACAACTTTCCTGTACCTTCATCACCTTCCTATACCATTAATAACACGAATATCGTTATAAATGGTATGAAGAATTCTTTGCCTAATTCTTTCATATTGGTCATCTTCATATTTTTCCACAAAATGGCCCATATTTAATTGTTAAAATGCATAATTGATAATAATAGTTATATATATTAATCATTAAATTGTTTATTATGCATCTAAAACTAATTAATTTAATACACGTACCTGATGATGTTATTGTTCATCTTCAATACGAAAGCATCAGAATTCATTGATCTTATTTATAAAATTAAATAATTTTATCTTAATTAAATATTATTCTCTCAGTTACAATCCTTCAATCCCTATTAATGAAGTATAGACTAATTTTAAAAAAAGAAAATAATCAAATATCACAATAAACATTATCTAATTTAACAGAAACTTTTTACTCTATTTTTTTCTTCATTCCTCTCAAATCGTAAAATCAAAAAATCTGAATCTCTTCTTATGAAAATTGTTATTTTTTCAAAACCAAATTTTGTTCTAAAATTGATGAAGAATCTTAAGTGAAGCATCCTAATGATTAAGATATAATTCTATTATGAATCTACTCATTTAATATATAAATTATAATATTATTTTGTATATTTTTTATTTGATAATATATCACTTTTTCTGGATATATCCTCTACAATAATAATATTATATACCTTGGTAAGATATCATTTTTTTTAATTTTACTAAATTCGACCAAAATATCTCTCTAATTACGAATCCACAATGTAATAAATGTTCCTATTGGCAAATCAATTAATTTTATTTCTTTAAGTTCAACTATGATATTTGTTTGGATAAATTTACATTTACAATCTGAATTAAATAACAAATTCTCAATGCTTTTAGGATCATTAGGATTCAATTCTCTATCACCCAAATCTATTATTGCTTCATAATACATGGATAAATTTTAATTAGTTTAATATTCTTCTGTATTTATTTCAATTTCATTTATATCATTAAGTAATTTTATATTAAATGCTTACATCATATTATAACAATATAATTTTGAAGCTTAATAACTTTGATCTTTTCTTATCTCTTTCATCCAAACCTTTTTATTCTCTTTTTCTTTTGCTTATACTTAAGTCTCCACATATTATTAATTCATTCTTTTAAATTCTACTTTTGCTTATTCAAGAAGTTCTTCTATATATTCAATCTATACAAAATAAAAGGGCATCTTAAAATATTCTTTATATTTTCTTAATTAACATGCTTCTAAATCGACAAATTCTTAATTTAAATATTTTAATTAATTTTCTGAAATAATAATTACTTTCTTATTATTTGCTACTTATTTAGATATATCTAAAATGGAAGAGTTCTATTAAAAAGATTAAGAAATCTCAAAATTATTGAACTTCTCCTTTAATAATTTATAATTCCTATATGAGAAGTTGTAAATTTTGATTGCCATTTATTAACCTTCCTATATTTCAACTAATTCTTAAAATTAAATTTCATCCAAAAATCCTGATAACTCTGTTTTAGTTGAAAAATAATCTACATTACTATTTAACCTCAAAATATCAATGAAATTCAATGCTTAGGTGGAATATTAAGTGACATAATACATTTATTATAAAAAATATTTATGGAAAATATTCTTTATTTAATGAATGTCTTCTTATTGTTTAAATTTTACATTAATTTTTATATTCTCAGTATCAAATTCTAAAATTATTTCAGGTTTTTGATTATAGAACTTTTTCATAAATTCTTCAAAAGATGACTTAAATTCTGTAAAATTGATTTTCATGTTATTTTTACAATTGTTCTAAGTATAAATTATTTAATATTAAAATAGTTCTATTTTAATTACTTAACATTTAATCACCTTATTTAATTCTTCAATGAATAATAATTATGAAGATTTCTCTTCTTCTTATTATTAATTATATTAGAAAACAAAGTTATTTTGAGGAAATTTGGGAACATACAAAGAAACATCTAATTCCTGAATCTCTTATTTAACTTACCGTTATCTATATCTCTTTTAATTAGAATTCTTATGTGTAGGCTAATTATTATCTTAGTTTTTATAACATCTCTTATAATTTCTTAATGGAATATCAATTTAATCTTCATTCTAAACAATTTCTTCTGTCAAAGTATTATTTGGATATTAATAATGAGTTGACTATTAATCATTTATACTAGTTCCAAATTTCTATTAAATGGGACGTTATTCAAATTATTTCTTATCATAATATGCAAACTAATCTTAATAGTAATTTTTAGGGTTATTTTAGAAAGGAATAGACATTTTCTAATTTACATTTTAATTCCATAAAAATGGATGATTTGAACTTTCTCTATAAGGATACGACTATTAGAATCTGTCCCCTTATTCTAATCTGTTATTTTACTTTAATTTTCTAACAATTTAAATTATAGTATCTGTTATTTCACCTTACTTATCATCATCACCAAAAACAAATAATGAATCAGGACCTAAAATAATGAAATTTTAGATATACTGTGTCTCTGAACTATAATTTCATTCAAATTTATATTAAATTATTAATCTAATCTCTTGGATTCAAGTACTACTTCTTCATAAGTATATAAATTGATTATGGAATTAGTTCTGATTTATTCATTTAAGTTCTTCTTTAAATAAAATAGATTGTTTGAAGTAAATTTTATTTGTAAATACGCTATAGACCAGAATTTCCTTCTTTCCAAATGATCCTCTAATATCTTATAGGTTTCAGGAATTGCATTCTTATTATTTGCTTTGATCACCAAGAAAATTTAATTAGGTATTTAGTTTAGCTCTATTAATAGTTAATGTTAATTCATAATTTCTTATAAATTTAAATTAAGATAAATGGATATAGCTTCTAAAGCTGTCACATTTTATTAAACATCAAATTAATATTTTGCTTTTAAATTCTATTGTTTATATCTAAAACCAATCATTTAGAAAATCTATTATTATAGATATAACATATTATTTTTAGGGAACCAAGTAATAAGGATATGTTTAGGTAGATCTGGAAAAATAGATTAATATCCTCTTGATTCCATGTTTAGATATTATTTCATAAGAGATTAAGCTGAATAAATCCAAAATCCTTGATTGCCTTTACTTAATTCTCTATATTGGGGTTATTAAAATAGTTAATAAAAAGGTTTGATCTCTTCATTATTTCTAAATTATTCAATCTGCATAATAAAGTCATCATATATTTTTGTATAAATTCTTTAAGCCGCTTTCTCACAATAATTCAAATTCCCTTCATAATAATAAAACAATACATACCTACTAAAACAATAAAATTTTGTTAATAGTAGAAATTAACTCCACTTTCTTAAGTTATCCTCTCTAGAAACCCTGAATGTTGAACCCAGATAGTTTCCAGGGTTTCTAGATGAATCTCTAAATGAGAATATGATTTTTTTTAATTCATAAAAAGAAAAAAAAATAAAATTAATAACTGGATCTGAAAATCAATACTAAATTTTAGTTAAATTCTTTTATGATTACTTCTTAAGTAATATAATATTGTAATAATGTTAATAATATTATGAATAGAAAGAATTGTTTGAAGTAAAATAATATAAATATAATTTAACATATATATATATATATATATTATAATGAAAGTAGTATAATTTAATAATGGATTATATTATGGGCAACTTGATTACTTTTATAAAAAGATTGGGTTAGGTGTTTATATTTATGATGATTCTTGTTTATATTTTGGATAATGGAAGAATGATTTATACAATGGGGAAGGTTTGATTATATTTCCATTTGGTGGAATTTTAAAGGCAACATTTAAGAACCATTCAATTGAAGGAATTGGAATATTAATAACAAATAATGAAGTTATGATAGGAGAATATCAAAATTCTGTATTAATTAATAAAGCATTACTTTTTAATGGTATATAGTGGAAATTGAGATCATTTTTGAAAAATGGTTAATATGAAGATTATGATTGTTAACCAAGTAAAGAATAAAAACTATTCTCAGAATTCATAAAACAATACCCACAACTATATAAAAGCAAACTTTTGTTATCTTTGGTAGGATATATCATTAATGATAATTAAATGTATATTGGAGAGTTTAAGAATAATAAATTAGATGGATTGGGTAGATTATTAGATTTTGATAAAAGAATATTGGAAGATGGTTATTATAAGAATGGATTGCTTTAGAAAGGTTTTAGATATTATGTTGAAAATAATTCATTTGAATAGGTTTAATTAGTATTTGAATAAGGATCATTTGATTATAAAATAATAATGTCAGGAATGAATTTTCCTAGTGAATTGATTTAGAAATAAAGGGCTCTTATTCATCTTACATCAAAACAATATATAAGTAAATCATAAGAAATTCATTATTTTCATAATAGATATTAAAAATGTAATAATTAAATCAAACCATTACTTAAAATTACTTTAAATCAATTTATTTTTGATGAAGATGTATCAAATGAAGGTGAAACCAATAAACCAATTGAACATGTAAGGAAAGCTTCATTCCATAATGAAAAAAATAAATAATTAGATGAATAAACAACATCAAGAACTTCTTCATTTCATGAAAAGAGTAGATAATTTGAATTAGATATGTGTAAAATTGAATTTGAAAATGCATTAAAACCATTACCTATAAATATTAAACAACCATAAAGAAAAAGAATATTTGATAAATATAATTTTTGACTTAAAATACTTTAATAAAAAATAATTATATAATTAAGAATAATAATATTCTAAAAATAATTATATTTTAATATCATTATAATGACTCAAATCCTTTGATTATATCTCCAGATGTATCTAATTTTACACTTGATCTTGCTATTTCTAATTTTTCTTATAAATATTTTGTAATAGGTCCAATTTCACCATTTCCAATAATTTAATCATTTACACTCAAAATTGGAATAATCTAAAAATAATATATAACAAAATTTACATGATCATTACTTAAATGAAATAATTCTACAATTTGATCAATATCTTTTATATTCAATTCAATCTCTTTTACTTCTTTAATAGAATTCTTAGTCAATAAATCACTATCTACTATTTTCAATGCTTTATTTAAAGTATTTCCTCTTATTGTTTTACTTAAAGGTGGATAACCAAATGTATTATCTTTAGTTATGAAAGCAACATTTGAAATGGCTCCTTCTAATAAGTTTCCTTAAGGATCAACTTTTATTCCAAAATATCCTCCTCTTACTTTAGAATAGTCTGCCATTGTTGCAAGTTCTAAATAATTTACAGTCTTGGCATTAGAAAAGTAATTAGGTTATGTCCACATATCTAAATGAATGTATTCTTTAACTCCTTTATCTGAATCATCTCCAACATTTCCATTTATATATAGAGCAGCATAAACAATAGATTTCTTATTCTAAAAATAATTATTCTTTTTACACATCCATAAATATCAAAATCTCCAATTCCAGTTGACACCCAAATTTTAAGAACTAATATTTAATCTTATAAATTTGGATGATTTTCTCTTTCCAAAACTTTATAAGCTAAAAAGGACATTTCATGTATTTTATCTATAATTTAATTTAAATATTACCTTTGATTTATTCTTTTGTTAGATTAATCTTTAATCCAATAATTTCAGCTGATCGAAAGAGTCTATTCATATGAAAATCAAGTGAACTGATTCTATAATTTTTCACATTACCAGTTTCCATTGCTCCATGAGCTCTATTAGCAAGTCTATCATCTATTGGAAAGACCATAAGATCTTAATTATTGCCTTTTAGAAAAATACAAAATATTATAAACCTTCAATAAGCATATCCAAATCAGAATTATACATGGCAACAACTCTAGATTTTCTATTTTATGCACAATTTTTTAAATATTAAAGAATATCATCTCTTGTTGCTACTTTTGTTGTAAATTAATCCATTATTATTATTTAAAAATTGGATTATTAATTTATATAAATATATATATTTATAATTTATTGAATAATTATTTATGGAAACCCAGAGGATTACTGCAACATTAAGCATTGAGTTGAAACAAAAGTACCAAGAAATTGAGGAAATGCAAATTCTGAAAGAGAATTTAAAAAAATTTAAACGTATTTATTAAATAAATTAATAAATAGTGGATGCAAATCTTAAACCAATTAAATAAGAAAAAGTCTTAAAATTATGTGAAAAAATAAAGGATGCTGACTCTAATAGAACAACCAAAAAAAAATATGAGAGTGTATTGAAAGAAATAAGAGAGTATGATCTAACAAAGTATAATTAAATATTATAATATTTTAGTTCATTATAAGAAATTGCAACTACAATTGTAGACTGTCAATTAAATCAATCAAATATTAAATTTTTTTTTGAATTATGCGTTGTGTTAGGTAATTATAAGGAATTTAGTAACATACTTTTATAAGCAGTTATAAAGCATGTTAAATTATTAGAAAAGAAAGGAGGAAATTATGAAAATGAAGATAAAAGAGCATAAAAACGAAAGAATCTTTTGAGAATTTGTGGAGAATTATACAAGTATAAATTTTTTCAATAATAATAATAACTTGTAGAAATTTTTAAATTGATACTTCCACAAGTACCATTAGATTAATTACTTATTAATATATAAGTAATGACCAATTTTATGAATCATTTTGGTTATGAATTTTTTGGAAAACATAAATATGAGACTAGATAAGATTTTGTACAAAATCCAGATTTAGAAAAAATATTTAATTTAACTGAAGAACACAAAACATTTGAATCTACTTTAAAAGATTATATTCAATATATTGAAAAAACTCTTATAGAATTATATAATTAAATTTAGAAATTAACTGAAAATTAAAATGATCAATCTGATAGTCAAAAAATAAAAGAGATGAAAGATTAATTTATAAAATTAAAAGACAATTATAGAATCATTAAAGATTGTATGGGTGAATATGATCCTACAAATCCAGATAATGAAGGAGGAATTTTAAATTTAAATATAAGAGACTTTTAATCAAATAATTGTGATGATACTGATTGTTTTCTAGAAGAAGAAAGAAAATTATATTGTTAATTAATTACAATCAATAATCCACCTGATCCTAATTAAATTGTTGTTTAATAGAATTAAAAATAAAAAGATTGTTCATCAATAGAAATATCTGATTAAATGGCATTAGAATTTGTTAATACAAAATAAAATAGAAAAAAACTTTTAGAAGAAATGTAAAATTTCAAATAAAATTATACAATTGTAATACCCTATCAATGTCGTTTATTTGCCACTTTATGTAAACATTATAAAGAATTTGAAGAAGAAGTTATTAAATCATTTTTAGAACAATATAAATAAATTAAATCTAATGATCATTAAGAAAGAAAATAACGTTATCTAAGATATTTATGTGAATTAACTAAATTCAAAATTTTAAAATAAGATATTATATTAGATATTTTAGCATAATTGCTTGAAGATTTAATAAGTTATAATGTAGATATGATTGCATTAATATTAAATAATTGTGGACGATTCTTAAAATATTCTGGAGAATCATATAAAAAATTTGAATATTTATTAAATTAATTAGATAAACAAAGAAAATTAAAACCTTTAGCTTAAAAAGAAGAAAGCATATTAACATAAGCATTATTAAGTTTTGATAGATAAGTTAAACCAAAAAAAGAAAAATCAGAATTATAAAAGTTCATCAAGTTTATTATATTTGATCAATTAGATGATTTTACAAATGCCTTTGAAAGTATGGAAAGACTTCCTTTAAGTGATTAATAATGTAAACAATATTTGATAAAATAATTATTTAAAATAAGTATTAAAGGAAGATACTCATCTTTAAGTATTGTTGCTTGTTTATTGGCAACCATAAAAGATAAATATCCTGATATTACAGGATAAGTAGTAGATAGTTTATTAGATGATATTTTATGTGGTTTAGAAGATAACAATATTAATAAAAGATAAAGAAGAATTACTATTATAAAAATGATTGGTGAATTGTATGCTTACTAAATTATAGATTAAGAATTATTATTCAAACTTCTTTATTTAATTATTGAATTTGGTCATGCTTCTGATATCCCTTAAGCAGAATAAGATTTAATTGATCCTCCAGAAGATTCATTTCGAATAAATTAAGTAATTGGTTTAGTTGAATCTGTTAGAGAGTATCATAAATAATTGAAAACTAATCTATTGAAATTTTTGGTATATTTTTAAAGATATGTTCTATCAAAACGATATTTACCTTAGATTGTAGAATTCTCTTTACTTGATTTATATGAAATGATAGATCCAAGATTAGCTAGAATAAGAACAATTAATTAAGCAGAGCAAATATATAACTCAAATAATATTGAAGATGCATTAGCAAGATTACCAGATTAAGCTGTTTAATTATAGGGAATAGATAAGAAATTTATTGAAGATCAAAAAGAAGTTGAATAATAAATTAAGTTAGAAAAAGAGTTAGAATAGTAATTTTAATAATAATTGAAGGTATTTTTATATTAAAAAATTAGGAATCATAAATGGAAAATTAATTAAAGTAGACTGTAAAATCGAATAAGAAAAATGTATTAATGCTTAAAGGTTCAGGTGATGTTAAAGTAATTACAAAATTAGAAATTTAAAATACTAAAAAAGTAAATAATATTTTAAAATAATTTAGAGCACGTAAGTACCAAATTAATATGTTGGATTTTCGTAATGAAGTGATAAATTATTTGATGAATGAGTGTTTCTTTAATGATTATGATGCAATACAAAAAAATATAACAAAATTTCAACATTTCACATAGTTTGTAAATTAAGTGTAAACATAAATCCTTTATGTTAAAAATATTTATATCTATCTTAACTAATTAGGTTAAGATTGTATTAAATTTCTAGTAATTTTATATTTAAAGTTCTATAGTGTTTTGCTTATAATATTTTTGAAACTCACTCTTATATTATTTTTGAAACATCTTAAACTCACTCTTATATTATTTTTGAAGTATTTAAAAACATTAAATACATATGAATAAGAATGGGACTCTATAGTTATTAAATAATTAATAATAAACATATACAGAAATTTATCATGATATATTTACACGTTTAATTTTACGTATTTTTGGTTTGATAAATTTACCAACCAATCCATCAGATTTCTTTTTATTTAAAGAACGTTATTGCCAAGTACTTTTACTTAATTTTACAGGACGATTTCCTACATACTTGCCATTCATTTCTTTAAATGCTTTTAAATAATCATTGGCATTTAAGAATGAAACAAAACCATAACCTCTTGTTTTCATTGTACGTTTATCTCTAATTACACGTGATCTTGCAAAAGATGGGTATTTTCTGAATGAATTAGCTAAAACTTCATCACTAACTTCATTGCCAAGATTTCCACAAAATAATCGATAATCTCCATCTGGCCAATCAGCTAATGTAGAATCTTCCCAAATATCACCTGCACATTTTCTCAATATGATCATTCTTCTTTTTCTCTTTTATTGTTGTTATTGTTATTATTGTTATTATTATTATGGTTATTATTCTGTTTGCTTCTACTATGGTTATTCAACTAGATTATATAGATTATATAATTACCTTTCATTTATTCTTCAGCTTTTCTAATTTGATCCTAATTTATCTCATTTTTCTTTTGCTCATATAATTTATTCAATTTAGAGAGTGCATTTAAGAGATTAGACATTTTTATAATAATATTTAATAATGCAAGTTCATACAGATAAAAGTCCAGTTATTCGAACCACTAAATCAAGAGTGACAGTTTCACCTAATTAAATTAAGTCTATTCCCATAACACATAAAGTGATTAATCGCATAATGGTTCCAATTTACTTGAGAGAGTAACAATAATAGTAATAAACTCAAAATCCAGATGTATTAAGATTGTAATAGGAACTTGAAATGTGGATTCAACGATATAGAGAATTGGAATAACTCTATTAAGGACATAAGAATCATCTAGTTATTGTATATAAATTGATTATGCAAAGATAACATAATATTAAGAGCGTATAGATATGTTAGTTTAAGAGAATAATTAAATGTCTATGATTTTAGAGGCACGCATTTAAGAAGTTTAATAATGGGAAAGAAGTTACTAGGAGTTGCAATAATAATTATAGTATACTTAAACAAATAGAGAATCTGAATTTCAAATTCAAATCAATTAATATTCTAATGTGATAGCAAATTATGAAAAGAACATTAATGATTTGAAAGCCACTCTTTAATTGAATTAAAAAGAATCCTAATAATGGAGAGAGCGTTGTGAATATTTGTAGAAGGAATAAGAGAAAATTAAATAGTATTATGACAATCAACGTTAATAAGATGCAGAAATACTCTTATAAAGTGCAGATCAATAACGTTAATAAAATGAGAATGAAGTTTATAAGTTAAGAAATTAATTAGATATGAGAATGAAAGAACTTGAATAATTTAAGTAATAAAATCATCAATTAGAATAAACTTTGATAGAAGTGGGATCTAGTTAATAAAATTATGAAACTAAATTATTATTATTGACTTAAGAGATTGAAAATAGTAATGAAGTATTCTAAAAAAAAGTATAAAAATTTGAATAAACAAAAAAGAGGAATTAAGAATTAGAATAAGAAAATTAGATATTAAGAGAATAATATGATTAATTTGCTTAATAGTTAGATTTTTATAGATAAAAATATGAATAGGAAGTTTTAAACTAAAGAAAATAAGAGAATTCTAAATTGGATAGAGAAAGAACACTTTCAGAAGAAATGAAAAGAATTTAATAACAAATTGAAGAGAGAGATAGAAGAATAAAATAATTAGAAGTCTAAATTTAAGCAAATTCTCAATATCAAACATAATTGATTTAATTAGAAGACAAATGTTAAGTCTATTAATAGGAGATTGAGAGATTGAATGGGTAAATGAGATAGAAAGAATAATAAATACAATAAATTTAATTAAATAATGAGTAAGTTTAATAGAAACATTATAAAAATGAAAATATATTAATAAAAATTTAAAATGAATATTAATAGCTAATCATATAATAAACAAACTATTAAAATAATATAGAATAAATGTAAAGAGTTAAAATGTAATTAGAAGAGAGAGTTGTTTTATTGGGTAGTGAAATTGAAAGATTAAATGATATTTAAAGATAATTAATGAATGAAATTGATTAGAATGTAAGGACAAGAAGAAATGAGAATGAAACACTTAATACAGAAAGATAAAAATATTCACTTATTATTGAATAACAATCTAGAGAATTATAAGAATATAAATTAAAATTTAATTAGATTGAATTGATTAGAAGTTAATCAGAATAATTAAAGTCAGATAATGATAGATTAAATTAATTATTAAGACATTTATAGAATGAAAATGAATAATGGAGATAAAATTATAATTAATTGGAAGATTAATTATAATAAGATTATGAATCTAAAATTATTATGTTATCATAAGAAATTGAAAGATTATCAATATTGATAAATGAAAGAAGTACCGAAAATGAAACAAATAGAAGAAAAGTAAATATATTAGAAGAAGAATTAAATAATAAAAGATATAGTTAAGATGAAAAATTGGCAATGCTTTCAAGTGAAATTGAGAGGCTTAATTTGTTAAATTTATCCTATTCTGAATAAATTGAAATGCTAAAGACTAAGTTGATTAAGTAAGATTCTTCAGATCTACTTTTATTAAAAGAAAAGAATTTATATTTAAATTAAGAAATTGAACGTTTATAAAATTTAGTTGAAGATTTAAATAAAGAATTAGAAATATATAGGTATTTATTATTAAATATATAATTAGACTTAAATATGCTGATTAATTTGGAGTTGGATCAAAGTATGAAGAATTACTTCTTTATTTATCTTTGTACAAAGTAGAAATTGAGAGTTTACGTACATAATTGACTGATAAAGAAAAAGAAGTTAATGATATGCGTAAATCATAATTAGCTCCTTATAGAAGATGATATTATTTGAATGTTATTTTTAAATTAATAATTTTAAGAATTAAAAATTGTAATCAATAATGAATTTAATGATTTTTATATTATTATAATATACTCCATAATTTATATCTTGATACTACATTCTATTCTTCACTTCCAATTTAATTAATCATTATATCTATATCTTTATCACTAAATTCCATTCCTATTTGTCTCCTTTACATTTATTACCTAAAATTTCACATTATTTTTTTAATTCCTATTTACTAATCTTTTTGGAATTACTTGTATCCATTATTTGAAATAACATCTCAAAGTTTTCATAATCATTTGAATCATAATGAAAACACTCAGCAAATTAATTTAAATTAAAATTCTCAGTTCTTTTCTTATACAATTTCTTATATAATAATTAACAACTTTTATCCAATCAAGATTCTTAAAGTAAATCCAAAAACTCTTTTACATTCAATTAATTTGTCTATGTAGATTTAAATTAGTTAAACATATCAACTATTTCATGAGGATGTTACATTAATATTTGTAATTTATTTACCAAAATAATAATAATAATAATATTTGATTTATCATTGAATATTACATCCTTCCTCATTTTTTCTACGTTCAGCATCTTACACTTATTTTCTCAATACTTATATTTCTTATTTATTTTAAGCACATTACTACTTCAATTCTAATAATTAATCTTCATTTGGACCTGATTATCTCGCATCAGGTGCAATTGACTCTCTTTCTAATTTTATTTAATCTTATAAATCCTATATTTCCTTAATTAAAAGATTCCTTTTTTTCTCTAAAAATGTTACTTATTCTTATTTTTTTTTCAATTCATCTTCCTTATTAGATACCTATAATTTTGATTATTATAAATTGAATTATTATTCTTCACTTGTATTTGCTTATGCCTTTTGATATTTAGAGAATAGATCTTCTATTAATTTTTTATAATTTTTTTGTAAACATTCTGCAAAGGTAGAACATTGTGATAATTAATATTTTTGTTTTAACAATTAATCAATCATATTATTGAAAGATTAAGAAAACGAATCAATATCTTTCAAATTAATTTTACCTATATTCTTTGTTATTAGAGAATCATTTTCACATTGACTTGTATATTAACAAAATAATAAAGCTTATTTTTCTTTACTTAAAAGTGTTTCTTATAATTTCTTTTTATATTGCTAATATGATCGATTCTTATTATTAAAAAAACAAGATGGGTATATTGATTATAATGAAACATCTTTAAAATCTCTGAATTACTTATAAATCTCTATATCATCAATTTTTTGATTATCTTTCATCCAATTGTCAACTTCTTAAACAAAAGCATTTAAACTTTAATTATAAACAGCTTTTGTATAATCCTCACAAATTGATACCCATAATTAATCTAATTACAATTATATTGGTTTGTTAAGTAAATCAACAATATATTCCATATATAAATACATTAATGGACCATTCAAATTGTAGCTATTGACTTATTTACAAACACTTCCTAAAATAATTTTATCTTTCAATTAGGAAATTGAAGATTAATATTCTGAAGTGCCTTGAGGAGCAATAAAGGCTACATCACGTTATTTAAACAGATTTTCAAACAATTGACCTTTGTTGGCTTTTACAAGGAATTCTTATAATTCATTAATTGGACGAGCTTAAAGAGTATCACGTTAAACCCATATAAAATTGGGTAATAATTATGTAATGGCATATTCATTAATTAATAATCTTTAAATTGTATCAAGCACAGGAAAACACCAAATACTATTATCATCTAATTTTAATGTGTTATATAATAAAGTAGAACAACATAACATAACAAATGCATATAACAATTAGTTATCAGTGCCTTAACAATCTATGAAATAATAACTTTTTTGTTCAATGACAAGTGGTTTTGATAACATCCAAATTCCATTATTTCCAAATTTCTATTTATTAGAAGTATGTGCAATTTCATTTAGTAATGTACTTTTACCTGATTTGTTTTATCCAATAATTCCAACTAATACTATAGAATTTCTATCATGACTAAGAATATTATTTAAATCTTGATGCAATTTAATTATTCCCTTTTAGAAGGTAACAATTTCACAAATATCTTAGCCAGTATAATTGTGAGTAGATAGTTTTGATGCTAATAGATCTAGAGTTAACATTTATTATTTAGCATTTGCAATTAATTATTATTTATCTTTATCTGTTAAAACAGAAGCTTTTGATTCTCTCATTTAAACAGGCTATTAAATGTAATTAGTCTTTTTTTCATTAGGAGTAATTGTAGGTATATCTACAACAGATGGTTATTTTTATGAAGATTTCTGTTAAACTTAAATTTAAAGTATATCTTCTTCATCGCTTGCTTCAAATTATTCTTAAAAGTTCTTCACTTTTTATTAATTATCATAATTGTTAGGTTAATGAAATGATTTTTCAGTTGGTTTTATTATTGATTGTGTTATTCTAGGTTAGGGTTCCATAATTGATATTAATTAAGGATTTGCATTAGATTAAAGTTATTGTTATTATTATTATGTTCTTTAAAGGAGATTAGGGTCATATTTTCTGGGAACAGAAGCATTAGGATCATATTTAGGTCTTTATGATTGTTAAAAATATGGTTAATGTTCTGGTTGATTTGATTGGTTTGTTTAGGAATAAATCTTGGATGATATTGTTGAATTAATGACTGGTTTATTACCATAAGAAGAGTTTGGAATGGAATGATTTTAACCAGTTAAATAGAGAGCATTTGCTTTATTAATTCTAATTGTATGGATAAAGAGAATTACGCTTGTTTCTATTCATCAAGTGGTTCCACTATAATGATATCTTAACTCTCCTCTGAAACACTAACACTAGAGCCATTAAAGTTTTCCTCAAATCCATATTTGTTTTATTCTAATGGATTGGATTATATAATTACATGTTGAATGCATTGAAATACGTTTTTATTTTATAAATGAAATATTATAGAGAAGGTCAATTGCTTCGATATATTGGTACATGGATTCCATTGGCAGTTCTTGTACTAATAGTGCTTTACTTTTATGTAGTGTATATGGAGGTATGTGGTGCATATTCATGTTCAAGACTTATTTGATGCCACTCATAAAATCAGAGTATGTTACTAGACCATTAGTTGAAATAAATACATACTTGATTCAATTAGTACACATCAATGACTATGTTTTCAGCAATAAAATTATAGGAATTACTATAACATTACATATCATTCTAATATTATTCACAATTACATTAGTCAGAGTTGTAACTACAATTCCAGGTCATGTACCTGTTGAATGGTTAAATAAAATAGAGAATGAAATTCGTTAGATGATAGAAAATGAAGAAAATATGATAAACCATAATAAGAAAGGATCATAAACATCAACTTCATTTTCATCAGAAATAGATGATGAATAGCGTCTACATTTGAATGTTAAAGTGAAAAATGAAATAATTGATAAATAAGGTAGAAGACATTGTAAAAATTGCAGTGCTTTTAAACCAAAACGTTGTCATCATTGTAGATAATGCAAGACATGTTGGTTGAAAATGGATCATCATTGTTAATGGTTGAATAATTGTATAGGTTATGGCAATTACAAATTATTCATTAATTTACTTGGTTATGCATGTATCATAATTAATCTCCAAAATTAGGGTTTTTGATTAGTTTTATAATGATTACTTATAGTCGTTGCTATTATGACACAATGAACTCATATTCAAGTGATGCCAAATTATTCCTAGTTTCCTTTACATTTCTATATTGTTGTTTCCTCTGGATTCTATTAACGGCTTTCACTCTCTTTCATCTGTGGTATTCTTATCAATAATACTGAGATTGATAGGGCAATTAAATCCAACATCACAACCCTTGAATACTGTGAGAATAAGCCAAGAGAACCCCTTTAAAAAGGAGTTTGGAACAATATATTTGATGTTTTTGGTAAAAACCCTTTAATTTGGTTCTTACCAATTCAACCAGATACCAAACCTATTTTAGATTGATATGAATATTATTAATATAAATATGTTCAATAAAGATTATTTGTCCAAATTACTCTACTTTCAAAGTTTAAAAAATATCATATCTGAAAAAGATTATGAACCTATCCTAGAAAGTTTTACATAATAGGCAAAACTTCATTATTTACCAAAAGATAGATTTGTATTTAAATACAAACTCAAAATTGATTACTTTCTTATTCTTGTTAAAGGCCGATGTCTTAAATTAATACCAAAATCTCATGAATAACTTATTTAAGAAATCAAGGATTTAGAAATAAGATATCCAGGTATTCAGAGATTACCATAAAATTTCTATTTAAATTCAACAACCTAAACACTCTATTTCAATGGTAAAGAAAATTATCCAAAAGAAAATCTAATGATCCTATAAGATTAGTTAAATCAATTAAAAATTCCATCATTTTAGATGCTAGGTTTATTGGCACATCTTATTGAAGGACATGTTGTTAGATTTCAAAGTGCTCATATTATAAATGAAAATGATACTCTTATTGAATCTATCACTAAAAATGCATAATGTTCCATCATTACATTAGATAACTGTGAATTTTTACAATTATAAGTCAAATAATATTTGGAAATCATAGAAACCTCTAAAAGAAGAAAAAATGAATAAATTTTATACTTAATGGGTCGAGCATTTTAGGATGGAATCAAATATCCTGATTTTAAAAGGGTTCTTCAAGAACTAATTAAATCTTCAGAAAGAGTTAAAATATGTAATCATCAAATTTTATATTCCTTTGAAATGCAATCTCACTTTGTTTATTTGATTTTAAAAGGGGAATTTTATGTTTCCTATAGCAATCATAACAACAATTTTGAAGTCTAAATTTGTGGTAGTGAAACATAATATGATAAATTCAAGAAAACATTAAGACATGATTAAAAGCAAATAAAACAATAGGTTCAATATCCAATTTAAATTAATGAAAATACTTTTGAACTTCTAAAACAGACAAAAAAATTTTCAAATAAAGAATATATTTTATTACAATTGGGGCCTGGATAATTATTAGGTGAAGAGGATTTCAATCACGATTGTTTTAATTAAGTTTATCATTCATTTAATTGTTAATGTGTTAGTGCCAAGGGAAGTGTTCTTGCTATCAAAAAGGTTGACATCTATCGTATTTGCATTGTTCATGATTGGTTTGCCAAGATATTTCATAAGAGATGTGAAATGAAACGAAACTGGCTCTAAGAAAGATTTGAAAGTCATTTAAATAAAGATATATAGAATTAAGTAATGAAAAAGATTATTAAAACAGAAAAAACTTAAAGAGTAGATGATTCCCTATTCTTAAAACTCAAATGTATAGATGAAGAAGCCAGTAAACATAAAAGTACAAAAATCTAGAAAACTTAAATATCTCCAGAAATAGATCTTAATATTCGTTGCAATCATAGAAAAGTGGTACTTAAAAAACTAATTGATTAAAATAGAAAATCTAATCCTAATAAAAATCCAAATTGTATAGGCATGATTTAATATCTAATTAAATTGGATCGACATAAATAAATGTTACTTCAACATTCAATACGATTAGCATTAGGATCATAAATGAATTTATAAAGAAAAATTTCCCAACATACTTAAGGTAATGAACAATCAATTAGCAAATCTAAAATATCACCACTGCGTACATATTCATTTCGAATAGGAAGAAGTAATTCAATGATTAATAGTTTTATTAATTATAAAAAATGAAACTATTAACATTTCTACAGAATTTGAAATTATGATTATATAAATTCTGTTTTAAAGTAGAAGACTGTCAAATCGCCTTAATGGTAAGATATTCAACAAATGAAATAAATTTTTTAATAAACGGATAGTGGAAAATTATTTACTTTATTCAGAAATATTGATAATCCTAAAAATTAAGTGTTTGATTATTAAGAAGTAGTTAGATGAATTAAAATAATTTATAAAAAAAAGAAAAGAATATAAATATTCAAGGATAACAATAAAATCTTATTTCAAGCTTCTTCATAATTTAAGATTAGTCTAGTTATCCCTAAAAAAATATTCCTGATTATTTTTAGCAATTATAAAATATAACTTATAGATAATTTTAATTAAATGTCTAAAATTAATATAATCTTAAGGTTTAATTATGTAAGAATGGTTACTCATATAATTTAATTAATAAATAATTATTAATAATTTATCCCTTACATGATTACAAAATATTTTAATGACGATAATTTTTGTCATTAATAAATGAATAATTTGTATTAAAATTGCATTTATTTTATATTTTATTCTTATTAAAATATATAATTGAATAATTGTGAAGTTTGAATCAAAATGTTTAGTTATGATATTATAAAATATTGATAATTGATCATTTATGAATTTTATCTCTGCAAGTGGGACATTCTGCTTTGAGCTATAACCATTCTTTTATACATTCTTAATGGAAAAAGTGATTACATTTAAGTATTTTGATAATATTTTTTTCGTTTAAGTCTGAAAGACAAATTGTACAAGTTCTACAAATTAGTGAATAATTAATTACTCTTTCTATTCAAAGTCATCAACACCAACTAATATTGGAATATCATCAATCCAATTTTTAATTTTTCTAGACTTAATCAACTTGTATTTTTATTAGAAACCTGGTGGCAAGCAAATAAAATTGAAATTGAAATAAAAATTGTACATGAACCTGAATTATATAATATATTTAATTTATACATAGGATGCCATAGAGTTAAAGGGTATTATGTCTATGTCTTATAAATCCTCTTTTTAATTTCTTAAATCTTATCATATTCATTGTTGTTTTGTTAATTCTTTCTTCTATTCATTTGATTATTTATTTCTCATTTTTAAAGTTGAATTCAAAACTCGATTTATAGAAAAAATAAAATCTTTTTATTTCAGATACATTTTTTCTCTTAATAAATTAGAATTATAAATTAAAGTGATTAATAAATATCGTTAATAAAAATTAAAAGAAAGAAAATACTTTTAAATTATTTTTGCACATTTGTCTTAATGATTAGATACTAATTAATGTTTATCAGAGTTATTTATTAATTTCATTTGCTAAATCAATTAATTTTGAGAGCAGCAAAATTTTCTGATTATCCATATTTTGAGATGCTGCTTATTTGTATTGTGAAATTTCTTATTAAAGTTACTCTATAGTCGCATCTTTTTTTCTTAATAGCTTCTGATTATGAATTAATTCCTTTTAATAATTCTTTTTAATTTTCATTAATTCTTTTTCTTTTTGTTTATGAAATTTTTAAATAGTGGCTCCAAAATCCTAAACAACATCTCCATCTTCTTCAGTTTTTTATATTTTAACCTCCTCATTATTTTGAAGTGATCTATTTTTAAGATCTGAATATATATTGTCTTTGACTTCTAACTCTTTTTATAAGATTTCAATTTTTTGTGATAAAAGGTCTATCTTATGGTAATAGTATTAATTGAATACCTTTTACTCATACTTCTATTAAAGAAGTTTCATTTCTTCTTTGTGTTCTTGCTCGAATTGTTTGATATCTGAAAGCATTTTCAAAATTACAACAACAAATATTACTTCACAATAAAATTATTCAAAAATAAATTAATTATTATTCATGTTTTAGCAAGCATTCCAATCATAAAGCTCAAATAACAACTATAATATCATAGCCAATATGTAAAGTATTCTATGCCTTGTGTTTTTGTTTTTTCACAATTTGTTCTTATTTTCATTTTTATCTTTAGAATTTATTTTTCAATTCACTTAATTTGAATAACTCCTTCTCTTACTCATCAATCAATATTAAGTATTGCTCATATTCAAATTTTTTTTATTACTATGTATCAATTGGTTTATTTATATTATTGATCTAACTCTTATATTGATACATACTAAAAATTTAACTTTTTTCTCTTTCGATTACAATATTAGATTTGACCTAAGAGGATTAAAATTTTTGTACATCCCAAAACCCTGATGTTTAATCTATTACATTTGATTCTACCATATACTGATTAATGTAAACTGTCATCATATTCATAGGACTCTATTCGGATCTTATCTTTATCATTATCCCTTCTCTTAACACTAATTTGCCTTAATCAATAAAATTCCTTTTTGATTAAGTTCTGTAAATACTATGGGTTTGCCTAAAATTGGAAAAACTCCAGGATCAATGATATTAACTTTAATTTTTAATCTTCTTTCTTATTTTGCAATGCAGTTTAATTTAATTTATATGCTTAGGTTAGTGAGTTAAAATACACACTATTTTTATTTTCTTCAAATTAGATGTCTTAATTGTCGATTCCTATTCATTTGATATAAGACATTTAATTAATTAAAGATTTAAATAATGAGTAATCACGAAGATGATTTAGAAGTATAAGAACCTGTTGATCAATAAAAAGAAGATGAGGGGTAAAAGAAAGGAGGTAAGTCTTATAAATATAATCTAATTAGGCACTGACAATAAACATTAACTTAAAGATATTGATTTAACATCAATTTTCGTGAGAAATTTAGATGAAAACACAACAGAAGAGGATCTTAAAGAATATTTCAAGGATTGTGGAAATATTGTGAAAGTAAAATAAATATATTTATGTTAGGTGACCTTAAGAAGTGATAAGAATACTGGCACTCTTTATTCATATATTCAATTTCAAGAATAAAGTTCAGTTGAGGATGCTTTAGTATTAAGTGAAGGTATCATCAGAGGAAAGAAAATACTGGTATTCATACTTTTCTATAAAATAGGTGTTTTAAAAAAGAACAAATTTAAGAAATAGAGGAAGAGGAAATCGAGGTGGAAGAGGATAGCGTATTTAAAAATTACTATTAATTAGCTTTTTAATATATTACAAGAGGAAGATATTTGTATGCAGAACCAATAAGAGGAAGAGGTGCTTATCGTGGTGGCAAATGAGATATTTTCATAGCCACCATTGTATATTATTACAAATAAAAAAAATACAAAAAAAATACAAAAAAAAATTGTTTTCTTCTTCTCAAAAAAAAAAGATCATAAAAAAATATGTTTCAAAAATATTTATATTTATTTCAATATCTAATTTCATAATTAATTCTACTACTCCATGGATTTTGGCATATTACTTGGGTATTACTTGAAATATATTAAATAATATATAAGAGGGATTGAACTATTAAATAAATTATTGATCCTATAAATGCAGCATAGATAAAACTTAAATTAGAATTGTATATTTTGAAGGAATACTAATGTATCTAATCTAATGCAATTAATATTCCCTTTATGTTAATACATTGATTTGATATAAAAACATCTAAGTTATCATTTATTTGTTTAAGCCCATTCTAAATATATATCAAATATTTACTGATGCTAAGACATCATATAAAAAGAATGATGAGTAAATCAATGTTACAATCATTATTATTATAGCTCCTATATTAACTATCATTGTAATTCTCTTATTTATGAATGTCAAGTATTTCTAATGATATAAGTAATTCAATTACATTATTATGAAATTTAATTGTTAAGATTGAAAATATAATTAGAATAACACATCCTGTAATTAGAGGAAGATTATTTCTTCTCATAATTCTTGTTATTCTAAAACTCTTCTTGCTTGAATTATTAAATACTTCTGTATTCAATTTTTTGCATTCATTAATTTCATTTAATTTGATACCTCTTAAAATTTACAATTAGTACTCATCCGTATTTTAAATATATTCATCAAAATGAGGAAGTTATTCTAATGGGATATCATTTTCTTTCAATATTTCCATAACCATTCCAGAATCTAATATATTGGTTATGCTAGTGTAATCACCTAATTCATCACAACCAGATTCAGGATATTTAGATAAAGGATAATATTCTTTTGATTTAAATTAAGGTTAATTATTTTAATTCAAACAAGTTGAAGATGAAGAAATATTAAAAAATAATAAAGGTGTTTACCTCTCATCTCTAACTATTTTGTACTAGTTTTTACCGAATTAAATATCCCCTTACTGATGTATTGTTTATAAATCCGTAATTGGACATTATAATTATTGCTTGACACATATATAAGAACTGCATGCTTTATATTGTTTCTGACATTGATTTCCATTTCGCCATTACGCTGTTTTGTCGTATTTTATGCAATAAATTTTTTATTTCCATAATTTTAATCTTTATGGTTCCATACTCTAAACTAATTCACAATTCTTATTTGATCTATCACATACATTGCCATTCTCAATTCCCTCCCAAATTCCCAAAGTTGCTTCTTCAAAATCAGGAGGACATCCTCTAATGTGATATGAAAATTGAGAAAACTCAGTAATATCAACTATCGGATACATAGTTTGAATCTTATGAGCCTTTTATAAAATGTTGTGTGCTATATAAGGATATCTAATTTATGGAGTAGTTATATAAATCCATGAGATTAAGAATAGAATCACAAATGTATAACATATAGGAGTTATTAACACAATCCAATCTACGACCTATAATTAAAAATTTTTTACTTTAGTATTATTTTCTCTTACTTCAATGTTAATTGGACCAGGATCAATACGAAGACTACCATTTGATTATTATCTTTCAAATTCTGCATTAGAAGGTACTTCCTAAAGACTTTTTGAACTTCTACGACGATAAGGAGCCATAGCCAACTTCATCCCATGTAATTATGCTTAATACATTAATTATTATTTATGTAATTATTTAAGAGGTGTCTAGTGGCTAGATTTTCATTAGCCATTCCTAAATTCAAGCATAAAGAATAGCCTTATGTAAAAGACATTCCAATGCCCAAAAGACCTAAACTTGATCCTAAAGACCCATATGAGAAGTATGAACTTGTGAAACCCCGTGAATATGAATTCAGACAAGCCCTAGGTAACAACCTATTTCAAATCAAATAGATGAAAGACATACTAAAAATTTTTATCCAGGTACTACTTATGTTGCTGTCCATAAAGGTGGAATCACTTATCACTTATTTGATGCATCAAGATTCCCATATGGTAAAATGTGTTCAAAAATTGCTTACTATCTAAGTGGAAAACATAAACCAACCTTTCGAAATAATGAACCTGGTAAAGTTACAGATAAATTTATTATTGTTAATGGTTGCAATATGTATTTGACAGGAAAAAAAATCAATTATAAAGTCCTCACTTATCATACAGGTTATGTTGGAAATTTAAAATAAATCAAATTCAGAGATCTAATCCTCCAAAAACCTGAATAATTGGTAATTTATTCTATCAATTTAGGTTGCTTGGACTGTTTCCAAAATGCTACCAAAGACTGTTTATAGAATGGATAAACTTGATCATATTCATTTATTTAGAGGTAGATTCCATACTTTTGATGATGTTTTACCCTAAATATTACCACATCATACTGATTTTGAATATAGAGGAAGCATTTTATAAGATATGAAAGAAGGTGATGATAGAACTCTTGTTTTCACCAGCAAACCTGTTTCTTAGGAGTAGAGTATATTATTAGTTTATTCATAGTTAAATAGGATCTTGGTGACATTAAGTAACAAATTATGGATCCAAGTGAATTGGATAACGACTTAATATTCACTCCTTTTGCTGAAAGACCTTAGAAAATTAAACTAAATATGACTTAACATGAATATGATAAATTGAATAGAAGAAGAAAACGATTGATGTAGAGATACAGAAAATATATGCCAATCCCTTATAGAAAAACTATTGAAAAAGCTGATTTCACTAAGAGTTATGTTGTTAAATCAGAAAAATAATTAAATAGATTGGGACTCTAGAAAATTAAGCCATTAGACGACGATCCAGAATTAGAAGACGAAACAACTAAGTTCTGAGAGTATTTTAATAAAAATAAATTATTTATAAAATTATAATCAAAAAAGCCAAAAGTTTGTTAATTAATTAATTATATATATATTATTATTCTATACAAGTAAATTTACCTTATTAAACTAATTATTTTTTGAATACTAACCTCATATTCTATAATAATATAAAATCATTATAATTATGTACTTTTTGAATAAGAAATTTACTGAACAAAAATATAAAAATATCGACTATTTTTTAATATTGGTTTTATCATTACAATAAAAAATATAAAAATGATTTTGATTAATATTTTTTATATAATGTTCAAATTCTTATTAATCTCTCAATTAGTATGTATTTTAACTTGATTATGATTTTGTCTATTCTACTTTATTTAATATGACTGAATCCATTAAGTATATTTAGTATAATCTATATATGAAATTTTTGATAATAGAAAATAGCATTGATTAATAATACTTATAATTTGTCTCTAAAGAGTTAAAAAAAAGAATATCTCAAAACAAAAATACTATTTCTAAATTACATTTAAAAATAAAGGTTTAGTAAATTATTATCTTGGTAGTTTAGTTTTCAATTTCCTAAATTTTCTAAACACAGAAAATTAGTAAAGTAAATTCTGTAGTAAAAATACTTAATAGTTGAATTTTAATCTGGATGAGATATTTGAAGAAATTTCAAATAGAATGTTATTAAAAATAATTAGATGTAGAAAATCAAATTCTAAATAATAATATACTAACAATTTATTGATTTTATATTTTAATTAATGAGTAGTAGAAAAAGCTAATTAAGTTTTATTTAGATTAACACTTCAAAACTTTCGTCAAACTTTATTTAATTATAACAATCTTAGCCAACTACTAGAATTAATTAAACAAAAAAGTTAGAACAAATTGAGTCTTTTATTCAAATTTTTGAAATATATCTGAAATTGCTTTTTGGTTAAGAAATAAGAATAGAAGAAGAGGAGCGATTATATGGCAATTAAAATATTGATTAATCTGAAAATAATAATTCTTTAGATTTGGAATAACCTGAAGCAATTATTAGGTACTTAATATATAAAATTATATAAAAGTCTTCATAACCCTGATTTTGTTTAAGATGATGAAGAATTTCAATTAAATCAATTAGAAATTTTTGAATAAATCATATAATCATTATCAATAGATGAACAATCAAATAACGACAAATTATTTTTAAAAGCAATAGAATATGTGTTTTTATAATTATCAGATCATAAATCTTATTCAATTTTTGATATACGAACAAGAAGACTTGAAACTTAAGCTAATGAATAAAGAAATGCTCTTTTTTAATTAGGTTAAGCATAGGATTTGTTTCAAAAATCTAATTAAAGTCCTAAATCTTCTTATTTAATTGAAAATAATTTGTAAATTAGATTTTAGACATAGGATTATCAAAAAGAATAGCAAATGGACATAATTTAAAAATTAGTGACTTAATTTAAACAACAACTAAATGACAACATAATGTAAAATTAAGGAAACTTAAATAACATCAGTGAATATTTTTAAGTGGATTATTAAAAGTTATAATACATACAGAAAAAAGCATATAGCTAAGGAGAGTATTTAAAATAATTCGGTAATGTTTGGCATAGAACTAATAAAGAAACATAAGATATTTTAACATTAATCAGAAATATATTAATAATATAATTTACTAGGAGAGGATTTCAAATAAAATAACAATTATCAGAAGATGGAAAAAATATATTTCTCTTATTGTATATGTCAGAGAAAATGCTTGAGACAGCTGCAGAAAATTGTTAACTACCAAAAAAAATTTGCTATTGCTTTTATGATTTACTGTCCTTAGAGCCAGTTGATAGATAGTACCGTCCATTAAGATTAAGTGGAAGATTATGGAGACCTCAGGATTATCAAATATCTCCTTATTTGAAATATTTGAGACCCTTAATCATTGAATAAATATAGTAGATTAATTTTAAGAAAGTTGCACGTGAAGTTGGACAGACTGGTTTAAATATAGAATTATTTTATTATGGAAAATCAGACATTCACGGGGATTAAGATGGTCCCAATGATGAAGAATGGACAGTATATTACAAATATTTAGTTCATTTAAATAAACATATTAATCTCTGTAGAAAAGAATTATAACTTAAAAGTGACATAGCGTTGATTGTTGACAATTAAAAAACAGTCGAATAGCTTTTTGCAATTAGAACTCATTAGAAGTAGAAAAGTTTTGCTGAATTTAATGAAGAAGAATAAAAACATATTATAGATTTACATGAAAAAGTAAGGTAGCTCATCATTTAATCAAATAGTTTAGTAATATCTTCTAAATTGCCATAAATAAAGAAAATAAAATTATATTTGAAATCATAATTAGCACATAATTATTTAACAATTTTTAATGAATCTTTAAAAGTAGCAAATTGTTAAAATCATATTTTAAAGACAGTTTGGGAGAGATATAATATAACTCCCTTTGATTTATATGTTCCATTCAAAATTCATAAAAAGGATTCTTCGGTAAAGAATATTGAAAGATAATAATTAAGATGGTGTAGATATATTAAAAATGAAAAAAATTATATTACTTTATTTCCAAATAATGAGAGATTAAAATTAGCAAATTCAGTTATTCAATCATCTATTAGTTTGAATACATTGATAAAGTTGAAATTAATAAATAAAGTTTTCTGTTTACATGATTTCTACGAATTGTATGGTTAATGTAATAATATTCAAAATGCTGTAAGTGAATAGAATCTATTTTTAAAAAATAGACCTTTCGATTTAGTTGGTGATTGGAAATTCAATTATAAGTAACCATGGGTATTACCCAAAGAAAGAATTTGCTCTTATTTTGGTGAAAAAATTGGATTGTTTCTTGAATTTGCATCACATTAAATCTTTTGCTATTCAGTTTTAGCTTGTTTAAGTTTTATATTTACTATTGCTTTGATAACTTTAAAAGAATTAGATAAATAAAGTTATATAGCAATTATTTCAATATTTTCATTATTGATTGTTTTGTGGAATTCATTTGTTACCGATTATTGGAAATCAGCTTAGATTTAATTTAATATAAGATAAGGATTTAATAAAAGAGCATCAGAGAAGTTAATTCTTATGTCATTTAAAGGTTAGTATCTTCGTTCTGTTGAAAATGATGAATTAAATTCATTAAGAGCATCTCAGGCTTAAATTATGTCGAAGTTAGTTATTTCTATATTTATTTTGGTTCTTTTGATAGGTTCAGATTTTGGGGTAATAATTGGTATTTATTTTTTTAATCTATTTCTGAAAGCCAAATTTAATGAAATCGTAAATAAATTCTATAATCTTGAAATTATAATATCTGCCTCATTAAATTTTGGCATTCAGAAACTGATTGAAAAATATTATGAACAAATAGCCACATTTTTGACTGATTTTGAGAACTTCCAAATTTCAAATTAATATGAAACAAGCTACACAATAAAAAAATACACTTTATATAGTCTTTCAGGATTATTTCCTTTATTAATTATTTCATTTCTTAATTCCCCTTTTAATCTTTATTGTTAATAAGAAAATTGTTAGAATGAAATTTAATATTTTTTTGCTACAACAATCTGCTGGATATTCATATTACAAGTTATTAAATATTCAAGATTATATTTTTAATTGAAAGAATAATTTGTTATAAAAGAGTAAATCTAAAATGTCTATAGTTTACTTTAACATATTGAGAACTAAAATTCTAAAATCCCATTTCAGATAATTTCAGAAAAAGATGGTATTATTGAAGAATATATGGAATTTTTCTTACTTTCAACTCTTATAAATCTGTTTGGTTGTGTATTTCCTCTTAGTATTACATTGTTTTGGATATGGATGATATTATAAGTGTAAATTTTAAAACTTAGATTATGTTTTTAATTATAAAGACCTTGGCCAAAAAATGAGGGTTCTTTAGGTGTATGGAATAACTTAAATTAATTAATTAATTTAGTTGGTATCTTATGCAATTCAGGAATTACTAGCATATTTTATAATAGTAGATTGTTAGATGATATCATTCTATTATATTTATCGTTACTTTTTTATCACTTTTTAATAAAATGTATAACTTTGGCTATTTTTGGAAACACTCCTAGCATATTGGAATAAATTATTTAAAGAGGAAAATATATTTACAAGAGTAATATTCAAATTTTAATGAATAAGACTAGCAAAGAGAAACAACATAAAGAATAATTATAACGAAACCCTATATATAAAACTTTTGGTGCAAAAGAGATTTAATTCACTTTTAATTTTGAGACCATTAGTTCTGATGAAGATATCTTGCATTTCTACTCTAAAAATATAGAAAGAATATCAAAGAGACTTGTGATTAAAGAAGAGTAGATGTAATAAAAATTACTTGAGTTTCCCTAAAACAATGATCCTTAGAAGTAACTTTTAGCATCTAATGCAGGTTTAAAAACATTTTAAGAATCTATTGATTACTAGAATGGATCAGCATTATTTTAATAAAAGGATGATTAAAAACCAGAAGCCCTTCTTTTTCAAAAATAATAAAATAAATAAAATGAATGGAGAAAAAAAATTATAAATGTTAAGAATTTAAATTATTAATTTTTACATGAGTATTTCTCAAAAAGGGCTTGTAATTGGGCTTTTTAGGTTTCATCATGTAGATAAGATGGAAAGAAACAATTATAAGATAGAACAAAAATTTGGAGATTTTTATTTAGATTGTAGTTATTATCAAATTATACTATGTTGTGGAGTGACTTTAGAATTCATTTAAGTCAATCCTTTATTTAAAGAAAATAAAAAATCTTACATAATTTAGATTATAAAAGGTATAAAATTCTGAAATAGAGTTTTGAAACATAAAATGAATTTTATACAGATAAGGCTTACTTTAAATTTAAGAAATAACTTAGATAATTTGGGACATAGCTTACCTAAGATGAGAAAAATGAATAGGCAGCTATTCTATTAAAAAAAGCATAATTCATAACAAAGAAATCTTGGCTGAATTGTCGAAAAGTCTAAATTTTTCGTTATAGATGTCTTTTCTTTAAAGGATTTCGTAAATAAACTATTCGCCAGTCATCACTTTAAATTGCACTCTTATAATATGAGGCTAATAAAAAATTAAGTTCTGTTTAATTCGAATCTGATATTCACAAAAAGTTTAGTGCTTTAGTCCAATATTCATCTATCAATTAATACACTTTAGACATGTTCATTGACTTATTTGATTAATTAGAATACGAGTAACAATTATTGATATTTATTTAGGCAAAAATCATCCTATATATTTTAATCTACAAATGGAAGATTAAACAATAAACTTTATCACCTTTAAAATCTAAAATCAGATATATATAGAAATGTAATTGATAAATCTAAAGATACTTATATTTTTGAACAATATTCTAAAAAATTGGAGGAATATTCATTATAATATTTTGTTGATGAAATGAATCAGATCCCTAATATTAAAATTTAAAAACATATTCATGATATTTTATGGTAGGTATTAATTGATGAAAAAGAATATTTAATGCAATTTTTTTAAGTTAGACATGGTTAATGCTTATAATTTTAAAAATTTTACAATAATGGATACGGACTATTTTTAGGGTAAAGCAAGAATTATATTCGACAATTAAATATTGTTGATTAAATTGATGATTTTTTAATAAAAGGATACTGTGTTTCCTTATACTCGTGTTAAAATTCGAAAAGCTTATACTAAGTAATTTCGTTTAGAAAAAAACACTCTCTCTAATATACAATTGAAGAATTAAAGTAGTTTTTGTATTCAAATTTAATTTTATTATAGAAGAATAAAATAACTAACATTTCTATTTATAATTATATTCTAGTATCAAATGAATATATGGTGCTTAACTCTGTTTGTCAAGAAAAAAATTCTATTTAATAGTTAGTTTAAATGATTGCTGAGATGATATTACTTTAACCTATTGATGATTTATGTGATGCTATAACAAATCTCAAACATCCATTGAAATATTTATTATCAGAAATGATTTCATGTGATAGATCTCCTACTTAAATAATAGAAATGATTTCTGTCCAATAACCATTTTTAGAACTTGACTATTAAAGTTTGATAAAAAAAGCAAATCAATTTCCTTCTAAAAAATAATTATTATCTGAAAAAACAAATAAGAGTTAATTAAAATAAGAATTTACATATCAATAATATATGGAATTCATGAAGCATTAAATAAATTTTCATTTTCGAATCAAATAATTTAATAAAACATTAGATCTAATTAATGAGGTTGAAAATTATATCAAAATAAATATTTTTACAATTGAATCTAATCTACTTGTCTGTTTTATCAATTATTTTTCAAAGAATCTTCATTCTTACATTTTATAATCAAATGAAATTAAAAAAATTCTAGATATCTTATTGCTGTATTATTTTAAGATTTCTACTTTGTTTGCTTTAAGATAGGAAATTGATTTAGAAAATTGTAAATTGATAGAAGGATTAAAGAGATGTAGCATTCAACTCAGAGTTATTTTTCGATAATTAAGCTTGAATATCAAATTAGAAAATCTATCAGACATAGAATAAAGTATCATATTAAAAAGAAAATTAAAATAGAGTAATGATTAGGGATCATCTATAAGTTCTTTTGATAGATTAAATTTAATAAATACCTTAAGAAAAAATCAAGATTATATATCAATAATAGTTTAATACTAAACTCAAATTTAGCGATACATGAACTAATTTTAAGTACTAAAAGCTATTTAAACTTACTTTAATTAAAATTTTATTCTTGCTGAGATTCAATTCAAAGATGTAATTCAAAGTTAAAAAACGTTAGTTTTTCGTGAACCTAGTCCTTAATTATTAGATATACCTTTAGATTATAGTACAGCTTTGATAAACTTTGAATAAACATCTCCTTTAGATGATGAAACATTTAACAATTATGGTTAAGATTCTCAGAATGAATTATTAAAAGTTGAGAATTAGCTTTATTACTCGTAATTACTCTATTATCAATTTTTATTATTAATAATTTATTTTGATTCTAAAAATGAATAATACTAAAATCATTACAAAGAATTCATAGCATTAGATGGTGCAAATAAGGAAGTATTTAATTTTTACAAAACTTAATTACATTTATTGAACAAGGATAAAAAAGTTTTATTAAAAAAAGACACTAAAGATTATTGTGAAGTTGGAAAATACTTAAAAATTACAAAAATGAAATGGAATGATATAAATAGAAAAAAATTTATCAACTTAATTTAATCAGAGGATGAGGATTTTATGAAGTTACAAATAATTTCATTTTCAAATTTAAAAATTACTTTAGAGAATAGAAAAATATTATTAACTTAATGTAACTAAATTTATCATAATTCCTTTCAAAGACTTTGTCAAATTAAATCAATATAATAGATATTACATCTTGACGATTTTTAGCCAACATCTCACAATATTTAATTTTAAGACAGAAAACAAAAAATTTATTTGATGAAATAATTCTCATTTATTCAATTATTATAGGAATTCCATTCACAGTTTTAACCTCAAAAAGATTCTTGGTTTTTCCATTAAAATCTATTTGAGTTATAAATATTTTACTACCTTTCAATATGTTTCGCATATTCCCCAAAACTTATTGAAAATTTAGATAAAGTCAAAAATAAAGAATTGGAATATGCAATAAATCAGATAAATTAGTTTTCATCTAATCCAAAATTTTACTGTTAATAATTAAAATGCATATAAATAAATAATTAATAGATTAAAGACCTTCCGTTTGATATTAGTTTAACAGAATATCAGCAATATTAATTATTCTGTCAATTTCTGAACTGTAGCATCAAATCTCATTCAAACTTAAAATAATCATTTCTATAGATAAAAGAATATCTTAACCAAGATTTTGAATGTTCAATTTTAGTGTTGGCCTTGCTTCATTCATATTTATATTTTTAATAATTTGAAATGATTGATTTAGTTTACTAATTCTCATAAAGATTACTTTATTCTAAAGCATTCATATTTCATAAAATTCATCCCGACTTTGAATAGGACCTTAGGATTCTAGAAAATATCTACAAGAATAAAAATACTTGCCTGCCATATCCTTCGAAATGGTTGTTTGAATATACACCCAGTTTTTTATATTTTGAAGATCTTAAATTTAATTGTTAATATCTACTATTTAATTTGATGATGCATTAAGATTATTATTTAATATCAGAAATATTGATAGAAACTTTGAGTATGTTGTAAAATTAGCAATAACTTTGTAGATTGATGCATCTATTTGAATCTATATAAGATGTTGTTAATGCAATGATCGGAAATATTGATCCAAAAAAATAATATATGTAACTTTAATAATCATAGTTAGAATAAGAATAAGTGAGTATAAAGAAACCACTCTTATATATGCTCTTCTGGCTCATCTTAAATCTAGATTCCACCTCAATTTAATAGATTATGAAAATGCACTAAAGTATTCAGAAAAAACCTTATCATATATAGATGCATGTTTAAAGTAATAAAGAACAATTATTTCAATTATCAATAATGAAATAGTAAATTAATAGAATTAATTTAGGTTTAAGAATATCCTATTAATACAACTCTCTAAAATTTTGAGTTTTAAGTATATGATCAACTTATTATTGAGAGTCATGATGTTGATTATATTCACCTGTTTAATAAAGATTTCATTAATGCTGCTATACTAAATCATATAAGAATTTTAATTAATATTGAAAAAGATTTACCAAAATTTAATTTGCTCTTTGAGTTATAATTGGAATTATAGAATAAAATTCATATAAATTACTTGTAAATGATATATGCAACTTATTTTAATTATTTATTAAATTAAAATAATTAGTTTTAAATTGAAAATTGCTTTATTGATCATTCAAATTATATAGAAATAATAAAACTAAAAATTTCAAATGAGGAAATGAAATAATCAGCATATTATGCTCTAAAGTTTAATATGATATCAGAAATCACTGAGATTGATTAAAAGTTAAAAATTTTAGATTTTTAATTGAATATTCTACTTGGGACTAAAAATGGATTAAATAAAAAATTGATTATTAACTGGATTATGTAATGTTCTCAAAAGGCAATTGATGGATACATAAAACTATTGCCATCTGATTAAAAAAGTATCCATCCCTATGTTTCTTTAATGTATCTTATTTAATGTTAATCCTTTTAATTTTTAAATTAAATCCAGTAGGCCTAGCGTTTAATTGATGATACTGAAACTTGTCTCAAAGAGTGGTTTGACATGAGATAGCATCCATTAAAAGGATTATTCTTTTATTATTAAGGGGCTCATTATCGTTGGCTATATAATTAATATTTAACATGTGTTGAGGAAATTATAAACTTATAGCATTTTGATCTTACAGAAATAAAATTTTTGGTACAAGGGTTAATTAATTAAGAAAAATAAATTATAAAGACATTTGATTACTTTCACTCTAATGTGATAAAATCTATAAAAACTCATTTAGATAATTTTATCTATTAATCTGGTGGGAAACATAATAAAAAGAAAATTGTTGAAGGAGTGACAAAATAAGAATCAATTAGCATTTTGGATAATATGATTTTAGCTAGTGCCATAGGTTCTCTAAATGGAATTTCTTAATTCTTAGATGTATTTAATAATAAATATATCTAGGCTTTGGCAATTTTTAATCATTTTGAAACTGAAAATAAATGCATTGATTTAATTCGATTTGCATTAATAAATTAAGAAAAATAATATAATAAATGAAATTGTTATTGCTTTTTAATGAGTACTTCATTTAATTAAATTATTATTATTAATATTTGTTGATGATTGAAATCAATATTCTAAAACAATAAATATATTTTGTACTTGATTATTACTATGTGATTTAACATTTTCATAATGCAAAAATCATTAATTCTCCTAAATTTTCTGTGTTATATATATTATTAATGTCATTGATATTCTCAATACCACATTAATATATAAAACATTTAGGCTTTATAATTCAAACCTATATAACAATAGCAATTGTAAATATTGTATATTAAAAATTTAATTTTCAAAGGTATAAAAATTTAATAAGTTATTAATAAGTTTGTTTTTGAATTAGGTTCTTAATTAATAATTTACAAAAAAAATATTCAATTTCCTTCATTCTTGTTAATAATTAAGTTCATCCTCTAATAAAATAAGTTTTTGAAAAGTTAGAAAATAGAAGTATCACATTTTTACTTTTCCTGCAATATTATAAAGTTTGATGATTTAGAAGCTATATAGTTAAAATCGATTGTCCTATCCGATTAAAAGCTAACTCAATATAGACAAATCTTAGATTTACTTTCAACCTTCATATTTTTCAATTTATTTTCTGTTATTATTTGCAGAATAAACTTGACAACTATTATATCTTATATAAATCTTACATAAAACTTTGCAGTGCCTTTATTTTTCGAAAATTCATATTTTATACAAGAAAATGTTAGAACTGAAGTATTGATCAGCATCTTCTCCTTTATATTTCATTTTTATTAATTACATTATCTTAATTAATTAAATTATTTATAACGCTAAAGTTCGAAACTTTTTTTCCATAATTCTTATAACAATGAATTAAGTTAAGCTAATGAACAATTACTCAAATATTCTTTAATGAATTTGAAGAATTATTTTTATAAATTTAATTCTTCCATCCTCCCAAACAAAAATAAGAATAAATGAAGTTCTCAATATCTAAAATATTTTTAAGTTGATCTCAACACACCTATTAGATTTTATAATTAGGCTTGAAATCAATTCATCAAAGTGAATTATATCATTGTAATTTCAACGAATTCTATAGAATATGACCAACTAATAATTTGGATTAATCTATATTATTGATTCATCAACATAGAATAATTTTAAGAATTTAAATATTAGTAATCTCAATCTTAGGTAACCCTTTAATATGATGTAGTTTAATTTTTTATTTAAGCTTTAAGTACTCTTTTGTAATAGGAAACTTTTCATTAGGTATGAATTCTTTATAATTATTAACAGATCTTATTTTCAGAAAAAGTAGAATATGCCTAAATTACTATTATCCAAAATAACAAAATTTTATATTACTATATCACATATCTATAGTCATTTATATAACAATAATTTTCTGTCATAGGAGAACAATTATTAGCAAAAAATTTTCCTTTTAGTATGTATGAATATTTAATTATTATCGATAAATAATATTTTATTAAAATCAACTTTGAGAATCAAATATTAAGAATTGAGATTCTTTTTTATAAACAAAAACAAAAGATTTTATTTACAAAAGTTAATAAGTAAAATTAACTGATTGTATTTCTAAAATTTTGTGGCAAATCGTCAGCATATTTTTTTAAGAGTAAATAAAGAGAATTATGTCTACTCAGTCTGTTTCTCTCCTGATGGAAATACATTAGCTTCTGGTAGTTATGATAACTCTATCCGTCTATGGGATATCAAAAAAAAAATATTGTTCAGATTATAGATTTAAAGAAATTTAGGTTATAAATACAAGATATCCTTTTTTTAACACCCCTTTGCAGTAAAAGAATATTATTTAAAATTTAGATACATCTAATATTATGGTTTACCCAGACTTCAATTTTTCAAGGTTTAAGAGAGTTTTTTTATAAAACCGTTTCCTTTTAGGAGAATTATTGGGGTAAATTCTAATTAATTATATACCATAACACTTGATTAATTTAAAAACTAACCTATATTAACCCTTAATTTAACTCTATTTTAAAATACTTCTTGTGTCCAATATTTGTTAATAAAGTTCTATTTTATAGTTTTTTTCTTTTTTAACAATCTTGAAGCATTACTAAAATGGAAATTAATTTAGCACATTTTAAAATTACAATAATAATTATTAGTTGCATGAATGCAATAATATCTTAATTCTTTGTATACTGTTTTTTTGGTATTATTCTTATCATAACCAAGCATTTTCTATCAATTTATATTTCGAATGTGAATTGTATAAGATTTATAAAGTATATTCTACAACTAAATCTTTCAGCATTTATCATTTCTAAGTTTTTTAATCTTCTTATTTCTTGAGAGTGAATATATCTTATTCACAAAATAATATATTCTCAACTCATATTTAATTAACAGTAATACTATTATTTTTTTATTAAATTGATTTTATAAACTTTAAATTTTAACAATGTTATTGAAAAATTTTTATTAGTAAAATACTTATTTT